AGATGTGTATAAGAGACCCATATAATGCAAAACAATTTAAAATTAAAATTAAAACGGAACAGTAGTGAAAATCCGATCAGAATGACAAAATAAACTAAGCATTCACTGGAAGGAATCCCAATATCTGCAGACGGATCCGTCTTATATAGAGTACCGTATATATGTCAGTAGCGTACCGGATAGAAAATTATCAAGTCCTTAAAGATATTTAAAAGTTAAGATTATATATCTCTTGATATAATCGGAGCCACACCTAGCGTAGATACGGTAGTGTAAATCTATAAACTACATTATCTTGTAGTTAACAGCTGAGAAATCATAATTAATAGTAACTTTCACACTATTTGTTTAAATTGTCTTCCCAATTTGACACCAACATTCAGGTTTAGGAATGTTGCAGAAGTAATCGAAATGTGTTGCAAATAAAGAACCTTTATATTACAGAAAAAGTCAAATCTATCATTTCAGTGACTTTCATGACTTATTATTATGCTACCATATTTTTATGCTACAATATATGTTGGGAAAAAATAATTTTTTTTTTGTTGTCCTCATGACTTCAAAAGTAAGAGTATAACAAGAGATACGGCCGAATGAGGATAGATCCACCCCCCTCGAGCAAACTTGCCATACAGCTCATAAACCTGACAGGAAGGAAACGCACAATCTCATGAACATTCGGTTTTGCGAATTAAACTACATAAATGGTATGGTGAAATACCGTACCGTATCTGAGTCTCTAAAAGTAGAGTTAGCGAAAATAGACCTGCAAGAGAGGAGGCGATAAAACTAGGATATAAATTGAATAAAATGTAATGTAACGTACGTAGACTCGACTAGTGCTATGACTTACGCTCTTGTGTGGTGTGTCAGATACTAATAGGACGCTACTCGATATAAGGACTGATGATGGCCGATAACGAAACTCTCTAAGTAACGAAGTTGAAAGGAAAGTGTAATCTAGTAGTTAAATACAGGTTAAGAGGTAGATCCTACTGAAAAATAGAAATCCTCTGTAATGTCCAAAAGGGAGAAAGCGAGAACTTCACATTTGTATGTAATACAGTATGTCAGCATATCTAGGGAAGAGAACGTTCGACTGAGAAGAAAACTGGGACCGAGCGTAGCTGAAAATATATTTTTTTTAAGCGTCTAGAAAATGTGAACTAATTTGTGTGGCAGAGTTTTTTTTTCAAACTATATTAGTAGCGTATACAGTGCGGAGTAAAAGGACATGAGAATTGAAACGAAAATTTGCTGTAAAAAATGCTTAAAAGTAGTCCTCTGGAAAATTGGGAAAATTTGGGTAAACCATTGTCATTAAATACTGAGTTAGATGTAGGTCCTACAAAAATATAAATCCTCTGACAAATGTAATAGGCCTAATATTCATGCTTCATTGAGTTTTCGTGACTGGAATTGGTTATGTTAGAACATGTTCTAGTCCCGAACGCATTATTTTTTCCCCATACAGTTAAGACAGAAATTTTAGAGGGTGCTATTTTTGGTAAATTATGTGAACTGATAAATATGAATATAGCTGCAGTGTTCATGCGTGTATGAATGCTACGGCGTTCAGTGGCCAAAATGTCTTATTTAGACCTTGTTAGTCAAGACAGTGTGAAAATAATTGATTATAATTGATATCATTATGGCACATCAGGCCGGACATAATTACATCGAGGTCACATACCTACCCATCGACTTAACATAACTACCCATCGAGTTAATTTTATTTAATTTTATTGGCTCTCTCTTTCAAAACAGAGGAACACTCTAGTCATGCAGGAGAGGTTCGACCATACAACAGAACAAAAGTTACAAGTTTGACACCCCCGCTTGGTACTACGTACCTCGCATAACGGCTCCCACCTTTCAAAATCCTGGCAACGTACCTCATTAGATTTATATACCGAGCCTGCACCCATTTCTTAGTCGTTATACTCCAGTATTCAATAATTCACTATATAACTACTTACTGAAGATGACTGTGTGATACAGGCGCAGAAACATGTTTATTAAATCTTGGTTTATTGCTTTTAAATTTGTATTGTTTATCATATCCTGTCGAGATCGTTTGGATCTACTATTCATGATTTTATTTAGGCCTACAACAGTTATGTTAGTAAAGACGATTGTAGAAGACTGGAAAAACTTTTTCAAAAATGCAGAATAGCTGAAGCTGATGTTAATTTCTTGAATAATTGTAAAATTTCCAGTGTTTTCCCCAAGTTTATTATTATTATTATTGTTAATGTTAATGTTATTATTATTATTATTATTATTATTATTATTATTATTATTATTATTATTATTATTATTATTATTATTATTATTATTATTATTATTATTATTATTATTATTATTATTATTATTATTATTATTATTAAACAACTCAATGGTTAGTTACCAGTATGTGAGACTCGATGGGTAGTTATGGTAGACCCAGTGGGTAGTTAGGCCTATGTGTAAACTCGATGGGATGTTGAGTCGATGGGTTATGTGCTCGATGGGTAATTATGTAAAATCGATAGATAGTTATGTAAAATCAATGAGTAGGTATGTAACCTCGATAGGTATGTATGTGATCTTGATAATATGTCCGACCTGGCATACCGTAGTATGTTATTTCTGAATCTGGCTATGTCAGTACAGTATAGTTATAGGCTTATGTGTTGATTGTAGCAATTAATATGCCCCTATCTGAAGGATGTAAACATTTAGAAATTCTAGGAGGCAAATTACGAGCGGACACAGTTGTTAAATTATAATTTTACAATAGAACACGTTGGGAAAAAATCACTGTCAATTAACAAACAGTAGGCCTAAGCGTATTTGCTATATTCTTTTGTATATTGACTGATAAAATTTAAGGATTTTGTAGAACCGTCTGTAAATCAGTGGTAAAATTAGAGTTTATAATGTATATGCTTACTCTATAATAAATAGGCCTACTTATTCATATTGCATATGAAAGAAATGTTTGTAAAAAATCAACATTAGAGCAATACATAAAATTGTCAGAGCATTTTTTTAATAGCAAAATAGCAGTTATAGCGTGTGTGCATCTACTCAAATAACCGACAGACTCAACGTACTGCTTTTTATACTTTCAAAGACAATGATGTACGTAAACAGTGTCATAGGGATATTATTATTACAATACTCTGACAATTCTATGTATTGTATTTTCATTTTTGGTTACTGTTAGGATATTTTATGGCGTCATTCCATTTTTCAAGTTATTTTATGTGGTAAGTGCTTAGAAGCATTGTTTTGCATTAGGCGCTCTTTAAGACTAACATTATTATTATGTGTTATTTATTCATTTAAACGCTGTATATACATTGTATTTATTACCCTATTTCTTAAAGCGTTTCATTGCACACATGTATTCACTCGAAATTTTAAGCGCCGCGGCGCTCTTATTCGAGAGCGGTTAGCGAAAACAAATCATGTTTGGTGCGGCGCTTATTCGAGAACGGCGCTTATTTGAGCATTTACGGTATATGCCGCAACTTTCATGTTCTTCCACAAGCAGACCGCGACCCAAGTTTCGATTGACTTTATTTTTTCCTATTACGTATGTGTGTCAACGTTTCCAAATAAAGAACTCAAACGGAACGTTTTTAAGTGGCGCCCTCATTTCGGTCATCGTACTGCCGTGTTTCTGGACATTCATTGGCTGTTGGTCATTATTGATTGGAAATAATATGTCATGATAGACACTGCAAACGCGTTCAGGGGTATTTTAACACAATAAGAGCCTGGTTTCCATAAAAATCGCTACACGCTATCGCCGACTTCTTTAGCGACGATGATTGGTCAGTTGAATCAAAGAGCATCGGAGAGAGCTAAGCAGAGCAAGGATTAAGAGGTGTGAGAGTCACTTCATAGTTGATTCAAGTTCGCTTTTTGACAATCCCGTCTACTTCTCCTAAGACCTGTCCTTTGTTGGTGTCAAGACGAAATAAATTAAATGCAATGAAGGATTGCAGTGAAAATGTTGTAGCAACTTTATGGAAACCATGCTTTAATGTTGAAAGAAATTCGGGATCATTTAGACACGTAGACACGTTATCTTGGAATTTCAAAGACTGTTTGAGGAAATTAAGCCTACGTTTGAAGAATGTTTGTTAAAACATAACATTAGTAGAATTTCTATTTAATAGAGCCCTGGTATTCCAATTATGGGTCGCGATCCAAAGTAAGGTCGCTAAAATAGTTTGTAGGGTCGCCCACTGTTTATGATTAATAATAATAATAATAATAATAATAATAATAATAATAATAATAATAATAATAATAATAATAATAATAATAATAATAATATACAGTATTTTACTTCTAGGTCACATGGTGTACTGTGCGTGCGCCCGCGGGTAATACCTGTTGGTTAATAAAACGTTATTTCTTATCCTGCATTGTATAATTAATAATATTGGCCAAGAGTGTGGTCGTAAAATTTGGTAACAATGGACCACTAAAATCCAATGTACATAGTTTTTGAATACGGGCTTGTGCCTTAAACATGAATTTAAGTACGGGTTTCCAAACCATATGGTGATGTATCTTAAAATTAAGCTTAAAGATAGCGTTAGAAAATCGGACCGGCTGACACTGATTTTTCTAATGCACTGTGTATGGGCAACATTAATAAGCTTAATGCTGTTAGATAAATGAAAAAAAAAAAAAAAACGACGGTGGCAAGACAAGCTACTTGCCCTATCACACTGGTTTCACCAATGGATTGAGAGAGGCAAAATTAAACGGAAAATCAAATACTGTATAATATGGTAGAAGGACTAATGAACGTCAGAAAACGGACCTTCACTGCGCAATTGTTTAGCACTAGTTAAAACATGCTGGCGCGAAACCCGTCGGATAATATCTCAACGTCCTTCTACTGATGCAGGTACCTTCAAAACGAAAAAATAACAATTATTAGGCTATATCAAATAAAATCACATGCATCGCCAAAGACACCAGCAAACAATTCTACCTATTATTTACATTATCTATGCATTGGTTTGAAACAGTCTACAAATAATGGCGATGCTATAACAGCTTACAAATACTGTATCAGAGAAAAAAATTTTCTTCAAAACTTTACCGCCGTTATTTTATTTTATGATCACAATTATAACGAGAGCAGTCACTACATAGAGTGCATACCTCCGTCCTTGCTTACATACAGTACCAACAATACGCATTCCGTGTATAATTGGCGAAACTGCAGCATACCCACAATGAAATAATGTAGTCGTATTTAGGCACATTATTTGCTGTATATTGCTGTATCTTTAATGTAAGATTAATACAAGGATTTTTCAACAAATTCCATTTTGTTTTCATTAGTATTTGATACTGCAATTATCGATAGTTTTACCGACATAATATTACTTCAGGAATGCACCAGGTTAAACAAAAACAAATTCTTTAAAACCTAGAAAAACTGAAGCCGGCCTCAATAATAGTATTTTATAGTGGATCAATAAAATAATATAATATAAATCATGTTTTAATGGATCATTCAGACAGAAGGCCGTCTGAGCTTGGCTAATATTGGCCTATCAGAACGCAATGAAGAATTATAATTATTGATCTATGCACTCAATAGGCATAGTCATTCAGAAATTCAGAAACGTACTGTTCTTGAATTCTAAAACTAATTTAACTTGATGGTAGCAGTACGCTTTAACCCGTCTTCCAGTCATGGTAAGCCTACACGTGGTAAGTTAATCAATATTTTCAATTAAACAAGATAATAGTAGGTACAGAAACCTCCTGATGTATAACACTAGTAGGCCTTTAACTCATCGCATACATGTGTATCACGTACCGAGTATAGCCCAATTCTGTCTCTTATTACCGATATGATAAGCTAGTTTATTGCTGTTACTGCTGAAAAACAATTCTCCACCACAATTTGTTCGATAATAATGCTAGTCTTCTTTAATTTATTTTATTTTCATATTATTATTAGCCATCTGAAGCAACAAAACGAAATCCAACACTTAAGTACCGTTATAATTCTCAATAAGCCTTAAAAAAAAAAAAAAAAAAACCGGATCGCTGGTAGGCCGACCGGTAAGGCAGGGGCGCAGCTAGCTACAGCCTTAACATCGGCGCTAGTTCCAGCCGCTCCTCGCCCCATGGATCGGTTGGTCGAAAAAGTCTTCTCGGATAAGGACTTGAAATGGAGCCCAGTGTATACATCTTCTGGCTCGTGTGCACTCTAAAGAACACATATTGCATCTTTCGGAAGAGTGTTACCCCGATGTTATGGTTCATTTCAGCCCCTGTCGTTGTGGAATGATGTGAACATGTACCCATGTACCTACCAAGAAGCGTCTCTTTACGGCTCTGGTAGTCACGGACCACGCCCATACGCAATTCAGCACAATGACGCTGCAAGTTACAGGTTATTCTCCTACCTTTACCTTTAAATAGCGCTTAAACTATGTGCACAAAAGGGAATCCAATCTATGATAATACTTCACAAACTACAGGTCTCCCTCCAATTAAAGACAACTTTTTGGGACCGGGCTTTTTAGCAGTGTTGTTCTCTAATTAGAATAGATAGAGATAGAATAATATGGGGGCCACAGAAGATTGGAGGGTCTTTAAGAGTAATTTTAAATACTTCCAAAGAAACGTAAACCTAACAGAATGAAATGAAACTTGCAGCAGATCAGTGTAAAAGTAGTTGAAGGGCGTTATACGTTATTTTACTTGAGTTATTTGTTTTACAGTCAAAGAAGTGTATGACGTTGCTGATCGTCTTTACTATCATGACGATATGCGCATATCTGTCGATGATCCATACACCCATCGGCCTGATCGGACCGTTTCTATGGCGACAGGTTAGCGCAACAGAAGTAAAGTAAGCATTTCTCAATACCAAAGTTAAAAAAAAATATTTGAAATTCCATTTGATTATATTATCCTACGAGGAGGGACACAGAAAAGCCTTATACTACACCTCCGTAAACCTACACACACACACACCCACACACACACACAGATACATATATACATATATATATCTGTCTCTTATACACATCTAGATGTGTATAAGAGACAGGTATATACATTGTATTTATTACCCTATTTCTTAAAGCGTTTCATTGCACACATGTATTCACTCGAAATTTTAAGCGCCGCGGCGCTCTTATTCGAGAGCGGTTAGCGAAAACAAATCATGTTTGGTGCGGCGCTTATTCGAGAACGGCGCTTATTTGAGCATTTACGGTATATGCCGCAACTTTCATGTTCTTCCACAAGCAGACCGCGACCCAAGTTTCGATTGACTTTATTTTTTCCTATTACGTATGTGTGTCAACGTTTCCAAATAAAGAACTCAAACGGAACGTTTTTAAGTGGCGCCCTCATTTCGGTCATCGTACTGCCGTGTTTCTGGACATTCATTGGCTGTTGGTCATTATTGATTGGAAATAATATGTCATGATAGACACTGCAAACGCGTTCAGGGGTATTTTAACACAATAAGAGCCTGGTTTCCATAAAAATCGCTACACGCTATCGCCGACTTCTTTAGCGACGATGATTGGTCAGTTGAATCAAAGAGCATCGGAGAGAGCATAATTATACAGGCATATTGGAATTTAATTACAAATGTCCTTCTCATAGAAAGGTTTAATAATTTGAATTCAGAAACAAACAATGCAGTCATATATTATATTTTTATGCATTTTAACAAAGAAGTGTTTTCAGTGCATTAACACCCGTATGTTACATTTCTATAAGAGAGGCCTATGTAGAATAATAATGCTCTAGACAAAAGTGTCTAGAACGAACGTATCAGAAATGTGTACCGGTAATCCTCACCATCAGTACCGGTACCATATCCTATGAAAAGCTTGATTGAATATAGCAAAGGAAAGAAATTTAAATATTTAATATTTTATTCTTCAAGATTATTAGCACAACAAAGAAAATGTATTTCATTTCATTTTATTAATTTAGCATTGTTCATAGACACATACCAAAATACAATAAAATTTACAAAAATGTAGTCTCAGCCCAGTACAGACTATCAATTTTTTTTGATAAAAACATGTGACATGCCTAAATATGGTCATGATGACAGCACATCATGACCATATATAGGCATATCATGACTATATATGGGCACATCATGACCATATATAGGCAAGTAACAGTTTTTTGTAAAAAAAAAATTTGATGATCTGGAAAAAGCTTTAGGCTATTTCAAAACTTGTTTGACTTTCGATATTACATGTCTTTCTAGCCGCAGAAGGCAGGAATGCAGGCCAAGGCAGACTATAGTTTTCGTCAAAACTCACAAAACGGGAAGTACCACTCTGTCAAGAATCATCGATGTGTACGGATATGAGCACTCCTTGTCGTTTGTTCGGAAACTTGGCCAGGACAAATTTTTCCATTTTAGTAATCAGAAGTTTAACAACACATCCTATCAGACCTTTATACCGCCCCCTGGAGTTGAAATAGGGAATTATGAAAAATACAAATTCAATATATTGACGCTACACGTTCGTTACACTCGTAGAATATTCGATAATTTCATGCAACCAGATCCTGTATATATTTCGATACTTAGAGACCCAGTGAAACAGCTGGAGTCTGCTTTCACTTTCTTTAACATCGACAAGGCCATATATGGGGTATGGTATTCCTTATCTTTTGAAGCGTTTATGAAAAGGCCGAAATTATTTACACCGCGTATTAATAAAGATAAACAGCCGTATATTCACAACAACCAAATGTATGATTTCGGTTTGGACGAAGAGAACTTCAAAAATATTGATTTCATAAATAAGACAATAAGACAGCTAGACCGAGAGATGGATCTAGTATTAATAAATGAATTTTATGAAGAATCTTTAGTCCTACTTAGTAAGGTATTATGCTGGGACCTACAAGATATGGTTTATATATCGACAAATATGAGAGGGAGACAACACATACATCATAAAATTGGAAAGGATCTGCGAAGGCAGATTCGTGGCTGGAACTCAGCAGACGTTATGTTGTATGATTACTTTGTTAAAAGACTACACGAGCGAATAGCAGAGTATGGCCCTAGCTTTGCAGACGATTTCGCCACGTTCAAGCGCTTGCAGTTTAACTTTGAGACAAATTGTCCCGCCAAGAAATCAAAGATGGAAACCAGCAAAACACACTTGAATGACAATGATCAAGCTAGATGCAACTATTTTAGAGGAAGCGCAGCCGAAATGGATGCGCGTTTAAGAAAGGCAATGAAGAAGAAAATAGAAGGAAATGTTAAGGATTAAAAAAACTGGTTTAATTGATGTGTTAACATAAAGTACATTATACGAAGACTTAAATAAAACACTGGTATTATTTTGAAGGGTTCGTCGGTCTATTCTATTTGGGTACGCATGCAATAAACATCATAGCAAAATCATCACAAACTACACGACACAGGCCACTATGGCCTGATAAAAGCCCATCATTGGCCCAGGAAGACCTCGGCGTAAAAAGGGAAAGCACTATGGTGCCAACCCAACAGTTGACAGATAAACATATTATAAACAACATATAAAAGTGCATTTAATCAAGTTGATAATAGTTCGGTAAAAATCGGAGGTCAGCTGAGGAAAAATATCAGAAGTACAATGGTTATGGTTAAAACGATAGTCAGTCGTATACCAAGACATTACATATCTACTAGTCCTATGCAGTCTAAAGATTAGCAAAGAAAATTTGCTAATCTAGACCGAGCTTAGTTAGATTATGATATGTTTATAGCATGGTGCCACGGTTGAAATACTTCCATTATTTTTTTTTTATCATAAAAACTTGCAAATTATGTGATGAATGGACTCCATCAAATCATAACACTGATTAAATTCAAAAGTATTTTATTGAAATAATTTCAAAAATATAAAATAAACATACAATTTCCAAAAACTCAATGTAGAAGAGCAAAACTTTTTCAGTTCCTAACAATCGGGAGATTTCGCAACCTTACGAAAACGACGACGAATACGAATACATCATCAGCATTATCGTCATATGCGCCTAAAATATTCTTGACAATATATTATACGAACTGAACTGAATATGATCGTTTATTCATTTAAAAGGCATGAATGGCCTACGTTGTTAAAGATATGCTCTGTAGGGGATGGATTGATTGAACATTTGATGACGTAACCGTATTCGTTATCCTTTTCGTAAAGTTGCGAAACGTCACTTTTAATTTGCCAAGTAGCCTTTTAGAGGCGATTTTAATTATAAATACAAGTTTTAAGATATTTATTAGAAATCGAAATTATATTTATTAAAAAGTTGGTTTTTTTTGTCGCTGAATTTATGTTATTTTGTTATGTTAGTTCAGCACAAAAATTTAATTTATACAGTTATTTTCGCTTTTTAACAAAATACAAGATTCATTTCTGTATTATCTTCACAATCCATTCTAGAACATTATTGAAATGGAGTAAAATAAATGAATTAAAAAACTTAATTCAAAAGACTTCATATGAATGATATCAATGATATTATGATATGAATGAGTTTTCTTCTTAAATTAGATGCATTTTTGTTAAACAAAACACAAATGTGTTTCCTGCATTTTTGTTAAACAAAACAGAAATGTGTTTCCTTCCTTTTACATTGAATATCTTATCTCCTGTCTCTTATACACATCTAGATGTGTATAAGAGACAGGTTAAGATCTGTATAACTCTTCTATTACATATATTGAAAAAAATATATTTTATAAAGTATTACAAATCTAACATGCACAGACTGAAAGCTTAAAAGATAGAAAAATGACCTTTTTTTAAAAATATTAAGACATACTGCCACCTAAGAAATATGAAAAAAAAACAACAAATTATTAATACAAAACATTGAATTGCATATTTCAAAAACATGATTCATCAACTTGCAATATCAAGCAACAACTCAAATCACTGTAGGTATTGAAATCCATATGTTACAATGATTTGCAGACTATAGGAATAGTATTAATAAATCTTTTCGTAGTGTCACTCATGTGTGACCGTCCTACCGGACATATTAACGTTCTCTGCATACGTAGATTACGTCCTACCATTGTCGTGCAATCGAAAGTTCTCTAATATCTCAGGGAATGTGGCTTAGTGAAAAGTTCCAATAATTATAGTACTGATAACTTGAGAGAAAAATTTATTTTCATTGTAATTTTCAATTAAAAAACAACATGGTTTTTAAATATATAAAAAAAACAATTCAATTATTTTCTTTAAATTTTCAAAGTGACAGTATTTATTAATAGTAATTGATAACACTAATTAATACAGAAACTGTTGGGTAAACATAATAAAACACCATTTTCTTCATCTTTAATTTAGGCTACTTCAGTTCATATTTGCCTATTAATGTATATTGATGTTGGCAGTCATAAAAGACTTATTTTCTGCGATTAGAAATTATCAAGAGAAAACATGAACATGAGAGGGAAATAAAAGAAGACAAATACAATCAACAATTTTAATTTTGCAAATACAGTGATTAGGTGTTTTTACTGGGTAATTTTAATAAGAAGTAAACATGCGAGTCATGACTTAATATGGTGTGATTACCATATTTTTTCGAACAAACGCCAGGGGAAATTTATTTTTGAGAAGGTTTTTAAAAGGGAATTTATTCGAGGGAGGCGTTATTTATTTTTTTTTGGTGTTAAATTGATACTTGTATACTCAAGTAAACACCTCTCAATTTCACGGTAAATGTTGAGCTACAACACATTATTACCGTCAAAATGTGTTATTGCGTGATCATAAAGACTTATCGAGAAACGGTTACAAAAAATGTAATTCTACTGAAGTAGAACATTAATAGAATGTGTTAAGAATGATGTTGTTTCCCTTAGATTTGCTTACAGTCATTTAGAGCCCCTTTATTCAAGGAAAAAAATGAACGCCTCAAGCATTTATTCAAGGGAGCTGTTTATTCCAAATCGAGCTCTAGAGGTGACGTTTATTCGAGGGGGCGTTTATTTAAAGTGGGGAATTTTTTTTAAATAAATGATATTGGTATTGATCTCATTGATATGCTATCAATGAGATAGCAGCATAAGGTATAGATAGTAAATGTATTAGTTTGATAGTACTGTTACAACTCAATCCAAAACATTAAATTCATCCCCGCCATTAGAACTGGATGATCCTTTACTACTTTCACTTGATGTATCAAATTCTGGTAGTACCACCATTTGAGGTTTACTAGAGCTTGTATTTTCTGGGAAAAAAAATAAAAAATTTGATTATTTTTTTTTTTTTTTACCTATTATAATATATTAATATATTTAAAAAATTATAAATATAAAATGTGAGGCATTGTCACGAAAGTAAGCCTCTTAGTATAAAACATAAAATAAGAGCTTTTATTTTCTGAGAAAAACATTTAATTTTCATTATTATAATTATTATTATAATTATTATTATTATTATTATTATTCATTACTTTTTTATCTATTATAATATACAAATATTTACTGGGTTAAGGGGCATAGTTCAAAATATAGCCATTAGTGATCCGGAGGCTGTACCGTGTCCCACTACTTCATCTCTGAACATAGAAAAGCCTCCAGATCAACTCGGTTTATATTTTGAACTATGACCCGATTGAAACCCAGTAAATATTTGTTTTATATACCACTTCACAGATTGTAGGCACTAGAGGGAATGGTTGCCAAGCTTTTAACCAATCAAATGCCTGGAATGTAGTTGGTATATAATAATTAATATATTTTCAAAAAGTAAAAATATCAAATGAGGTGTTTTCACAAAAGTGAGCATTCTGGTTCAAAAGATAGGTCACATCATAATTCTTGCTTTTGAATTACCTTCCTAGCTTGAGTAGAAATGGAATATGATCATTTTTAAATTTATGTTAAAAACATACTTTAGACTCACCTTTCAATTTTGGCTTAGGATACTGTTTGACAAGCTTTTCCTTGTGACTTTCATCGGAACTCGAAGAATCGTCTTGCCAGCGTTCAAAGTCAATCCCCACAAACGGTAACTAAAGAGATAGAAACAGCAGTAATATTTGAACATTTGTAATTATCGTAAAAATTTGGATGCTAATTATTGCGTTTAGTACTAGTATCTACTGTGCAACAGGATTATTAATGGATAGAGCGTTATAGAGTTGCATCAACACAACCTGATCGTAAGCTGACAGAACACTAAAGCAGGGCACTCAATATGTTGCATGACCATCGGCCAACGGATCCAAATACGCTCGGTAAGCACTAGACAACGCGACGTTGCCTGCTGATTGTCAATGGCAGTCTGATCGAATTGCCATCAATAATGTTCAGATGCACGCGCATCATAGCATTGCATTCTCCATACAATGGTGCTGGCTAACGACAGTCGAGTGCTCGGCTTGATTCTGCAGTCTGTCTTTCGCATCACCTTCCGAATAATATTATTATTTAATTTTAAAATACTGTAACTGTTTTTAATAATCTCTTTTAAACCAAATTATATCATTGCAAATACCTTTGATTTCGACTTGGTTAATCTTGGCCATTGGACATTTTCTTTGTCTTTAAACAACGTTATCAGAACCTCGCTACCCGTAGCCACGACTACATGGTTGTCAGTTAGCACGCTTCCGAACAACTCCAAATTAAACTCATAACAAACTATGTCTATGATTGCACTAGATTAAAAAATACAAATGGAATTCATTCAAATTTAACCAGAACTCTGGAACAGCATTCCTGTAGCTCTGCATTCTACTCAGTCGAACTAAATTTTCAAGAGGAGAAAAAACATTCTCAAACAGATGCAGGTTAACTGCCCTTGTTTCCCTGATTGACTTAAAGTGCTAGTTGAGAATGAGATCTGACAGACCATGCCAGGTAAATAAAAAAGATTATACCAAAGACTACAAACACTGCTTTTCAATCAATAACTGCACACATAATTTTTTTTATTTTCTGTTTTGGTTTTTTTCGGCTGGGGGTGGGGGGGGGGCTGTCTCTTATACACATCTAGATGTGTATAAGAGACAGTGATAGGAGGCTCTGGAACCCCGAAAAGTAAAAAGATTAAGAATTTACCGATGCCAACTGGGGTACACACACACACACCAGTTGGCGGAGATGGTGACAACCTCAATCTGCAGTTTGGACACTACCCTGGTGCTATATTTCTTGATTCAAACAACACTTTATACAATATTTCACCTCTTTCTTTTATCTGCCAGGATCAATAACTATGAAATGGTTGGATGCATTATATCACATCATATCATTTATTTTATCGATAAAAGCATATAGAATACAATGAAAAACAAGAATAAAATTTTTTTTAAAAGCACATTAAAGGAAAGTAAAACAAGACATTAAAACCTGACTAGATTGCTGAAAAGGGTAATATATGCATGCATGCATTTACGTATGTATAAATCATCAATATTAAAATAATATATGAATGATATTTTGCCCTAAACTTGACGTATTATTATTCTACTGAATGGTCAGTACGTTCCCAAATACTCGCGAAAACACTTGCAAGATCTTTTTTATAACGTACTAAAGCATTTAGTATGATAACACGTCATGTAGGGAAATACATCATTTATTTCTCCTGACGTAAAACGCCATCAGAATAAAATATTGTAAAAATGCACTTAGAACGAACATTAAAAGATGGATAATAGTTATTGCTTGTTTCAAAATATCTGATCAAAGAATAATATCTGTTCAAATTTCTACTTCATGTCACAAAGATTGATGAAACACGTGCCTGTTGAGGTTGGCATACAAAAACCTGATTTATGTCAGGAATATATAATAGAATGTGCTTAGAAAAAAATAAGTAAATGTAATCAATGTTCACAAAATTCAATTGATCTGGACAGGTTAATGTTGTCAAACGTCAAAGTCATTATGTCATTAAACCAAGACAGTTATCATTTTAAGAAGGTAACAATTATTCAATGACAACCACATATTACTCTTCATATTTAAGTCATTTGATGACTGATTGTCAGGGATAGCTTGCTCTGCAATGGATATGACAAGCTTTTGTGTGGGCCTAGCATTATCATTCAGGGGAAGACCTACAATTTCAAAATTAGGAGGAGAGGGGGGCAACAGCGGTGCCCTTTACCCCCCAGACGATCCACTACTGGACTAGACAATGGACAGTATACCAAAAAAAAGTAAACTTACCTGAAAAATACAGAATGTTTCGTAACCACAACCTCTTTTTCATTAACCCCACTCAACCGGACACTTAACAAAATTGAATTCGGTTTTTGTGACCACAATACCTTTGGATGAGTTCTGTAGAGAAAGATAACATACCTTCGTCACATTTGTAATCATAATATGACCGGTTTAACCACCAAATTTCAAAAAGATACTTTTGAGTAAAAGGTTTATTTCCTGTCTTCCGTCCTGTCCAGACTATCAAATTTTATTTGAAAAAAAACATGTGACATGTCTAAATATGGTCATATCATGACCATACTGTATATAGGCACATCCTGACCATATATGGACATACAACAATTTTTTTGTCAAAGAAAATTTGATAGTGTGGACAAAGTTTTAACCTAATAAAATTAGGGGGAAATTAGAGTGAAATTTAGACTTTACTCTCTCTGCTTGCTCTAGCTTTACACTGATGAATGTTTGGGTCTGCACAAGGCGCTGACCCTAGAACCTCACTGCTGTTCTTGTCCATATTCTTGGTTACCAAAAGTGTCTAGCGTAGCCAGATCTGAACGGACACGCAGGAAATTTTGTACACATAAACTAGAGGTGATTTCCAACAAACGTTCATCACCCTTTTCTTTTAAGTTAGACCCAGGGTTCCCCCTACACCTGCAAAACAAAACAGGGGTTTCAGCAAGGACTGTACATTACTGCCATTACCACTAGTAGGGCACGTCAAACAGATGGTGCGATTTGTTAAGGATGTGTTCTAAAGAACCAAAGATTGTGAGTTTGAATCCAGTCTTGGTATTCATCTTTTTTTTATTTTTAAGATATTTTATTTTTTATTTTTTATTTTAAGATATTTTTAATTTTGTACAAATGAACATTCAAAATAATAATTTTTTTTTTGTACAAATAAACATTCTAATTAGTTAAACATTTCTATCTTATTAGGCCCAAAAAAACCCAATATAATAACTTCCTCCTGTAACTTTATATGGAAGAATGCATGGACCGGTGAGCGATCGCTCTTGTTTTATTAATAAAAGCAAAAAAAAATTGTTATTGTACCGTTTAATGTCATCTGCGACCTCTAACGGTGGCAACCCAGATAAATCTACATCATTATCGTCATTGTTTACATAATGTGGTGACATAACTTCATGGTAACCAGGGTACTTCAGTGTCATTTCCTTTGGAATGGTAGCTACTGTGTGTTTAGTGTCCTGTTTCATAACACCACCCTCATTCTCCAAAGCTTTTATATCTACACCTTCTAGACTAGCTCTCTGAGCCAAATCAATTCTTGCTTTGTTCGTGAAGCTAAATTCAAGAAGTTGAATGTCCAACTCGGATAACAGGTGTGTAGTTACTTCAGAGAAAGTAGGTTGCAACAATAAACTGTAGAAGAAAATATGAATATACACAAATTAGTATTGCTTGGGGTGCCAGTATGAATAAGGAAGATAATTCCATTATAATCAAGTGGTGTCTATGAGACCAAAGACCAGTGGCAGAGCAGAGAGCTCAGTCGGCTGAACTGGTGGTGACCACTGCGTATGCGCTGAACCGTGGCGATATCTAGGTCCGCTGTTCAATTCCCATCATTGCGTCTCCTTGTGCTTCAGCTGGTGGGCTGAAATGCAAGTTTCAAAAGGCACACCGTCTTTCGGATGAGACGTTTAAACTGTTGGTCCCGTGTGCAAAAATAGCTCATGTGCACGTTAAAGGATGCAGTACACTCTTCGGTAAAGAGTAGGGATTGTCTCTCGGTGTAATGCCCAATTCACCTCCAGAAAAGACGAACTGGAAAAAAGTCTAAGGACTTTCGTGGATTACCCTTGGTTTATATCAAACCAAAGAAATTCAATCCAATCCAATCCAGATTCAAGGGCAGGACAGTCAGCTCAACTTGCAATTGAGTCTGATGTGAGCGAAGCCTTAGGGTCGGGAGGGCTTGGGCACACTGCGTCGATATCGGCCGTGTCATATTTTGTTTTCGACAGTGACATCCTCAGACTGCCACTAAGAACTCAGCAAATTGGCACTCTGTATTGAGCAAGTGTTTACAAAGAGCAAGGGCAAATTGATCAACTGGCGATAGTATGCTGCAATGTACTCCTAGCTGAAGGCTCATATGCATGTTTAAAAACTCTGTACGTCCATTGGAATTGTCTGCTAGTGCACCAAGCTAATCACCATTATAAACATGCAGAATTTTTAGTATGTTGAAGGTAACAATGCGCGAGTAGAACAAGATTTAAATGCAGTACCTTTCAATGCTATCCAGCATCCCTTCGTTAATCATTGCCGTTAAATTAGTTGGGTTGGCGTTGCCGAGTAATTTTAATGTCAGGGCCGACAGTGAAAGTATCTGAAAATAATGAAAAATCAATTAAGATTATCAGCGATTATAAGACAAAAACAAATTAGGATCATACAATTCATAATTAAAATTATATAAAACGATACCAGGTCCCCCTCCTATCAAAGACCACTAACCACAAAAGGGGTTTTTAATTTGGAGCGGTCTTTAAATAAAAGGAGACCATTTTTATTTTTAGAACAAAACATCAGACAGTATACCTCTTCATCTTCCACATTCCAAAGAAATTCACACATTATTTCAAGACCGCCAAATTCCCGAATGTCATCTCGATATCTAATTAAATTATTGAAAAAAACAGCATAGGAAAAATTAATTTTTTTCATAAGATTTAACTACTATTCACATTTCTTTAAAATAATTTAAAAATTTTAAAATATTTTTTAGTTCTATTCGGATACAATTATTTTTTTTTACATTACATTTTAAAATCAAACTAACTAGTCAAATTGAACAACAATATATCTGTAAACACTTTTATTATTCTAGACCTCTTTGGTGCTCCACTACTGACACCCCCTCTAATTTGTTCACTCTTCCTTTACCTGCTATTGCTGGCTAGTTCTGAGAGTAAACTTAGAACAGCCTGGCTCATTTCCGTATCGTCCTTCTTCTTCTTCAGGAGATCACATAGAATTTTAATTCCACTTGCCTGCTTCAACATTTCGTGGTTCCTTGAGGTATAAAAAGGAAATATCAATCAACAACCAATTTGTCTGTAAAACTTAATTGATTAATTGATTGATTGATTGATTGATTTGATCGATCGATTGATTGACTGACTGATTAACCATTGGGGACAAAACATTATAATTAAAGGAAATGAAATCAACAGAGATAAATTAGAAAGGAGCAACAGAAAACAGGACTAAAAAAGGAATACATTCAAGAAATACATATTTTATGCTGAGTGGTTCTGAGGTGCTCTATTTTGCATTTCATAATCTTCTTAACAAATGTAAAACTAAAATTTATGCCGATAAATTACCTGGTTTATGATATTTTGTGTGATGCACAAACATTGTCTAAAGCTCTGCCCAGACTATCAAATTTGATTGGACAAAAACATGTGACATGCCTAAATATGGTCATGATGACATCACATCATAACCATATATAGTCACATCATGACCATATATAGTCACATCATGACTATATATGGGCATACAACAGTTTTGATAGTATTGACGGAGGTTATAATTGTATCTAATAACGACTCACTCTGGATGTGATGACATAAGCTTCTTGAGAATTATGCAGCAATTAATCAATACAGGATTCTGATGGTTGCCTGACAACAGGAGACATAAGGAGTCTACAACATCTAATGTCTGCAAACTGTTTCGCACTCTAAAACAAAATTATAAATGAGATAACATAAATGCTTTAACACTATAGCAAATAACAAATTACAGGGTGTAGACAAGTTATGTTTTACATGGCCTTCCATAGATAGTAGGCTGTCCTCTGGAGACAGCACAAAACAGTAGGCATGCAAATATTACACACACTTATCATAATCTTGTGAAGCTCAATAGTTCTGATAAGAGAGAAGTAGAATTTTACCACAAAATAAAGACTAAAGCATATGAGACACTTTTAATACAACAAGTATATATTAGAGGGACAGTCAAAATGTGCCACTATTAGGTTAAAAAATAATGAAGAAATAAAATTAAACAATAGTGAATTAGAACACTGACCTCTTCGTAATTGAGACAACCTTTAAAATCCAAAGTACTTGTTCAATGACATCATCTTCACTTGACTGTAAAACAAACAATTTTAAGCACTTTTAATATAAAAAAATACTGCTCTTAATTACATTCTACAAACTTTAGCATAGGTGGAGTATACTGCCTCTTTTAGTACAGTATTAATAATAATAATGCAAAGACCTGGTGAAGTAAGCTTGGTTGAGTCAACAGCACACACATTTTTCACAGATCATGGGGAGTAATCTTGCTTGATTTAACAGCACATAAACTTGTGCCCCTTTTAGTATAAAGTAAGTAAAGACCAGATGGAGTAAGCTTGCTTGATTTAACAGCACACACTTGCTGCCTCTGTCATTATTAATAACTGATTCAAAGACTAGGTGGAGTAAGCTTACCTGACTCAACAGCGCACACACCTGCTGTAAACATCCATGTTCGCTAATTTCATCGCAATTTCTTGAAAATAAAAAAAAATGTTCAAAAAAACTTGTAAATATAAGCATACACAAGCAAACCTGTCAGTAGATAGTATTTGATCAAACTTTATCTGATGAATTAGAGCACTGTCCGACTTCATATATGGGAAGACATGACTTGTTTGATCAAATATAACTCAAACATTCACTATCAGACTGATCAAAAATTATCTGTCTGACAAACAAAAAAAAACACCCACTTTTTTATGACACACCTAAACAAATCATTGTTCTTTGATTGGTGGAATTAATAACATGTGACATTGGGTATACTTTTAATAGCAAACTAATTCATATTTTTTGTAATTTGCATCATTCTTCAATTTAGTTTCATTTTGATTCCTTTTTTACTCGTTCCATTGCACTCATAATCATTCATTATTTGTAGGACAGGCTTAAGAATATAGAGAATAAGGAACATTCATTAGGCTTATAAAAATATCATGTTACGAATGGAATTAATCTTGAGGGTATAATAAAAAAGAGGTAAATTCATGTTAGATTTCATCCTGTATTAGACAAGTGTAGGTGTGAAAAACTCTTTAAAATCAATAAACCAATTTAAATGAATTACCTGAAACTGTTATAAGAGGCCTTGATAATGGCTTCAATGAACAACTGCTTCTCACTGGGGTCAGTAGCTACTGAGCAAACATAGCAGAGTGCACGTACATCATGGGGTTCAAAGGTCTCACCACTATAAAGAATAAATCATACAAACACCTTTCAAGAAAGCCATATTAATATACTTTAAACACCTGCATATGCAATGCATGCTGAAGCACAAAGTAGTTCCTCTTGGGGGTGGGCTTATCCCCGAGTCCCCTTTTCAATTAAAGATCACTGTATGCCTAATTCAAACCAATATTTGATGTTTTTTTCTGAGAATATTTGTACGGGCCATATATACTAGGGAACGGGCTTATATGCGAGGTGTGGACTTATGCCTGAGGTGTGCTTATGAGGGACTAATTTACATCTAAAACACAAACCCAGGGGTCCCAAGTCTCCCGGCAATTGCAAAGACCTTCCGCACTCTTGCAAGCAAGCAAGAATCTCCCAGAAATAACCAATCACCCACAAATTCATAATATTTGCATGTTTGTAATATCTTATTATTTATTATCTCATGGAAGTCAGCGCTGATGGGTATCACTGTGTGTGCAGTAACAAAACTAAATGTGTTAACAAAAGTCATTAACTACTGCTGATTAGTGGAGGATTCAAGAGACCCCGATTTTATAAAATTTCAAAATATCTCAAACGAAGTGAATTGGGTCTGTCTCTTATACACATCTAGATGTGTATAAGAGACAGCCAACACACATAACCCAGCTCACCAACACACATAACCCTGCACACCAACACACATAACCCTGCACACCAACACACATTGCTTCACAACACATATAACACTGCAAAACAAAACACATAACCCCGCTCACTAACACACATGACCCAGCTCACCAACACACATAACCCAGCTCACCAACACACATAACCCAGCTCACCAACACACATAACCCAGCTCACCAACACACATAACCCAGCTCACCAACACACATAACCCAGCTCACCAACACACATACTCCTGCTTATCAACAAACATAACCCAGCTCACCAACACACATAACCCAGTTCACCAACACACATAACCCAGCTCACCAACACACATAACCCAGCTCACCAACACACATAAGCCTGCTGACCCACACACATACCCCTGCGCACCAACACACAATAACCCAGCACATCGATACATATACCCTGCACACCAACACACATACTCCAATATTCTACTCACATTTTTGCAATGTTTGAGGTAATATCCAAAAGATTTCTAGCCAAATAGAGTCTTTCATTTTCATCCTGAACACAAATACATTGATATTAATATACAGACATGGATTAGCAACTAAGTTTATCAATACATAATTATTAAACAAATTAATACATAAAATTAAATAGTATTTAAATAGGCACATAGGAATGTTAATTGAGTTATATTTAAAATAATAAAACAAGTACTAGCAATCTTTAACTAAATCCAAAGTATTCACTACATTTCACAAGAAATGTATGCTAGATTTATAATGTAAATACATGATATAAATAACAGGTCTTACTTTTATTTGAAAATACATCTTGCAGAGAGCAGGTACAGAGTCAGATTCTTCAGAGGTAGGAAACATATACTACAAAATGTTAATAAATACGAAAATAGAAAGATTAAATGCACACACATCTGATTTTGAGCCAACACCATGTATTGAACAATGACAAATACATGTAAAGTATGTTTACTTGGAGATTATTATTAAGAAGAATAAATAACAGAAACCGACTATGAGAAAAGATGAGCTTTTGTTGTTAAAGTACTGTACAGTAACTTACTTTGTAAAGTAATTCAGAAAATTTACCTGTGCCCTATGGAGTAGCAGCAGTTGAAATGCAGTTTCCCCAAAAGACAACCACAAAAAATTTAATTTTAAATATTAGAATGAAATAAGTATGCTGAGAAGATGGTGGAATAACGTACCTGCAAGGTTGTGTCGGATGGCAAGGCAAACCCTTGAAGGACGAGGGTCACTGACAGGTCACTGCTGGTGCAGCTTAAGCTACTCGGAGTGGCAGCATTAAAGCTTAGCTCAACTTCATAGCGTTCAACACCATTCACTTTAGAGGAATCTTTAGATATGACCTACAGGAATTTCAATTATGGATAATTAATTATTTGTTACAACGTCGCCCAACTATGATCAATTTTTCATCTACCAAAATATTTTGTCAGTAGTAATACACCTATTTGATGTTGCTGCACCTACAGAATGACAGCACTCACAATGTTTGTTGATTCCAGAGAAAGGTAAAACAAACAAAAAACTAAAACTAGTTCACATATCAAACTTGGTAAGTAGAAAAAGAAACTCTTTTTCAGTCTCTCTCAATACTTTCCAATCTGTAGTGTTAGATACATTTTTTCCTCAAAAATCTCCAACCCAAATGTTTAGCCTCTTAATAATGAGAAAAACAAACATACACAAAACAATACATTATATTTTCTATTGGGAATTTCTGATATCCAATGGCTTCATGCAGTCCTTAAAATATCTTTTACAAAATCTAATACACTTATATGCTCAGGGACGACAGCATACTGCGGTTTGGGTGGTGGCTTGGAGTTCTTTTTTTGTTTTTCCAATTACATCTGCTCCATTGTTTTGCGCATAAATGAATAACCTTTAAATTTTATATAATCTTACATAGTGACTATTGTTTCTATGGTGCATAATTTTTCCAAATACTTTTATGATATTATAAATACTATAACAAGTTATATATTTTGGGTAAAAACTTCCTTACATAACCTGGTAACAAAGTATAAACTCACCTTTGCATCCAGCACTCGTTTGCATTCATTTTCATTGCATATATCCCATAATACATTGCCAACATCCTGGTTCCAGACACCTTCTGTTGGTAATACCCCAGTGAGTCTGCATTCTATCGCTTGGAATGGAAGCTGACATTAAAAAAGAATATATAATTAGCACACCATTACCGTACCATTAATAGCAGCAGCAACAAAAAAACAACAGCAGTAACATTAATAACAACAGCAGCAGCAACAACAATAGCAACAAACAACAACAGCAGTAACAACAATAACAACAGCAGCAGCTACAAAAGTAGCAATAAACAACAACAGCAGCAACAACAATAACAACAGCAGCAGCAACAACAGTAGCAACAAACAACAACAGCAGCAACAACAATAACAACAGCAGCAGCAACAACAGTAGCAACAAACAACAACAGCAGCAACAACAATAAAAGCAGCAGCAACAACAACAGTAGCAACAACAATAACAACAGCAGCAGCAACAACAGTAGCAAAAAACATCAACAGCAGCAACAACAATAAAAACAGCAGCAGCAACAACAGTAGCAACAAACAACAACAGCAGCAGCAACAACAACAACAGATGCAGCATTAACAGCAGCAGCAGCAACAATAACAACAGCACCAACAACAGCTGCAACAACAATAACTGTGGAAGCAGCAATGGCAAACAACAGCAATGACGACAGCAACAACAGATGCAACAGCAACAAAAACAACAGCAGCAGCAACAATAACAGCAGCAGCAGCAACATCAGAAGTAAAAATAACGACAACAGAGGCAACAACAATAACATAAGCAACAACAGCAGCAGCAGCAACAACAACAACAACAACAACAACAACAACAACAACAACAAAAGCAATTACAACAACAATAAAATTGAGTATTTGTCTTAATCAGACTCCGATGAAGTAGAACTTTTATGACAATAATAGAAAGTCATACAATTTGTTTCAACAGATATGTTTGAAACTAGCATCACTATCAATATTTGAACAAACATTTAGTCTGAGAGGCTAGTGATTGTTAGTGAGTTCTTGTACCTGTAAAACATCGTCCCAAACTGAATGGATGTCGCTCTCTGTAATGTCTTCCTGATCTCCATAATCCAGGAAGAAAACCGTGTAAATTGTTTCCTCTGAGTTTAGTTTTTCAACAATTTGTCCTCTATACCACCTACATTAAAAAACATTCAAGCTTTAAAATATTAAAAGAAAAAATAAGAGTGGAATGAAAAGAAAAAATTGTTTAGTGTCAAAAGTACAATAAGCAAATTTGTATGGATGAGAAAATGACATACAGTATATGGGTATACTAACATTCCATCCAATGGAAACTTAGCAATGCAGTATGACCCTGGTTTTCGAAGACTGTCGTCTGATGTTGAGCCTTTCTTCATAGCTTCTTCTTCCTTTGTTGATAAGCTGTCCCCTGCACAATCCCCAGCACCATCTACTGAAGCAACCCTTCCCATCGGGGCCACATTCTTTGCTTCTTTTTCCATTCTATCATTAATTTCTTTCATTAATACCTCCAGTCTGAAAATAAACATTACAATAATAATTTTAATATGTCTGTTTTATAAACTGCGTTGTTAAGGCCTATTATATGCATCACATATTTACTCTGGTGATTAGGCCAAGCATTTATAAAAGAAATATTCAAGTTTCCTATGAACATATTCCATTAATGTTGTACATACTAATCAGTGCATATTGCCATGACAACCTACTAAATAACATGGAGAACATGCTACATTGGGTGAAGGTCACATTGTGTGGGCCAACCCTGGTAAGCAACCTGGTTTGAAACAACCAAAGCGAGTGCAGGGGTGGATTGCTATAAGCGATCTTTAGACAGTCTTAACGCGTAGCTGGCTATAATCGTGACGTCACTACTGGTCTATGATTATAGACCATTGCTTTTACCGCAGTCTAACCAGTTAGGCATCTAAATCTTAAAAGCCTGCTTGCAGAGGCTTAAAACAGTCTTAAATCATTTTTATCATGGCGTTACAGGCACTAGACATAGGCCATCAAAAATCATCAAAACCCGAGAATCGAACAAAGAAGATATCGCACCTCAGCGTCTGTAAAAAAGGGTCTACGCTTATTTATGTTCATTTTGATTCATGTGCATGTGTCGAGCAAGCGTGAAGTATGTAAATGCACACTCAATTTTATGTTACCAGGGAGTACTTGTTTGCATTTCAATAATCAAAGCAGTCTAAGTGAAGACCATTTTATAGCAATGGTCTTAGCAGAGTGACTTCAGTAAGACCATCTAAGTGATAAAAATGGTTCTATTTGAGGAGTTACGACTACCAGCTAAGACATTTTTATAGCAATCCACCCAGATTTTATAAAATTTCAAAATATCTCAAACGAAGTGAATTGGGTATGGCATAAGTCTTAACTGTGAACTAGGCCACAGTCTTCTACAACACTGGCAAATGTAACATAACAATATGCAGAATGTAGACCTCTCCATTGAAGCAATATTAGTATTTCAGAAATATTACAAGTCTTTGTTGATTACATGCATAAGAAGAACGTCAATTTCAAAATTATAAATTTCACTCAACTAGATGTGTTTTTTACAAATGACTAACCTTTTGTACTTGTCCAGGCGCTGGACATAGATCAGGTCAGGTGTATCGATGGCAGACAGGTACACTTCAGTGACATATTTCTCTGATAGTTGCATTGCTTTCGTTGATACTGTGCTCACGTCCCTCAAAATAACAATATTTTTTAAAACTTGTAAACTTTTATCATTTTTTTTTAAATCTTTCAAATTTTTAAATTGTCAAATTTTTCTAATTTTTAAACTTTTAAATATTAAACTTGTAAAACTTTTTAAACTTTAAACTGAATTTTTTCACTTCATTGCAATGTTTATTTTTGTCCATTTTTACTTCTTTTTGTTTGTCATTGCCGTTTTTTTCATCTATTATTTCTGTGTTTTGTATTCTGATTTAATGTAAGGACCCCAACGAAAATAATATTTCAACGCCATTGTTATTGCCACAGCTCACTAGTGTAGTGTATAGTGACAATATTGTTAATGATTAGGTTGGATGGGTAGGGGGGTGATGATGAAGATGATGATGACAATGATAATAATGATGATGAACATAATGTTGATGAAAATGTTACTGATAATAATAATAATAATAATAATAATAATAATAATAATAATAATAATATGTGTTAAGACATTGATCATGATCGTGATAATGATGATATTAAGAATGACAAACATAATGAGGATTGTGATTATGATTATGTTGAGGATGATTATGAAGACAAGAATGTAGATGATAAAGATAATCATTATCTGACAATAAATAACATTTATACTTTTCTTCTTTGTCACTTGGAGGGTAGTATATATCTATTCTTCCTTGACAGCAATCCTTGAGTAATTTCATATGCTGAAGAGAAACAAACAAAAAAAAACTAGTTGGTTAGATGAACATTGCCATTCCAATACCAAGGACACTGTCGCTATTTGTTTAACTGATTAATTAGCATAAGAATTTAGCAGTATTGTATACTCAAGTACAGAAAAGACATAATACTTTTACTCATAACTTGTACTAGTAAGTCGATTACAGTAAATGACACATCATTTTAAAGCTTACAATGTAGAGAATAAGAATAAATTAAAAAGTAAATTTTCATTTTTTGGTCACTGCCTCAATTTTTACATTCAGGAACAAATAAAAAACTTAAAATATGAAAGTGTTGTAAGGAACAGTAAAACAATATTACAAATTATCACAAACCTCAGGATTATGATCAGCAAAGCCTGCCCTCAACAGCTCAAGTCTGACATTGTGTTCGTTGACAACTGTTTTGATAGTGCTGAGCTGTACCCTCTCTACAAGGGGATCCAACCAAAGTGTGTTTCCAAGGCTAGAAATAATTCATTTTCACAAATCAGTAGAGATTTTTTTAGTCCATGAGTAAAATACTTATCTGGATAAACATAAAAAATTGCATAAAATGAGAACACCCCTAAAAAAAATAATTGAACAGTTCAGCTAAAGGCAATCAGCATAAACTACCCTGCAAACAAACACACATTCTCATTTTCGCAGGTCCCCCGTAAGTCGCGGGAGATGTACGAGGAGATGAGAAACTAGTAATTTTTTTTTTCATTTGGAATTAAAGGAATAAACTACTGTCTCCAATATGCAAAATGTTTTAATCTTTAAAGTATAAACTATGACACTGTGTCAAAACTCTATGGCAAGATTAGGGAAAATCCTGGTCTCAAAATCTTTGAAGGCAAACATTCCAACCAACAAATCAAAGTTGAAATGATACAGATAACAATTCTAATCAACCATTAATTAAAAATTAAATTATTGCATATTACCTTAGAAGGACTCTCCCACAAAGTTCCTTGTGATAAGTGAGATTGTGCACAAAAGCTGAAGCCTAAAATACACAAATGAGAATAAAACAAATAATAAAACATTTATATATTTCAGTATATTCCATATTTAAAACTTAACCTAATACTGTACATACCATGCTACAAAATAACACAATATTTGGACACTATGGTTTTTACTGATTTTAATATTTATAATTATAAAATAGATATGGCAATAAGTTGCGCGAACCCTTCTTTACTGCTCGGCCAATCAACCCACCAAGATCCCAGTAACTATGTTACATACCTGGTTTGTCCAATCGGTGTCTTGGTCTTTAGGTCTTAGGTGACACAGGAAAACTTCCACAACCTATTTGATTGCAATACCAAAAATAACACTAGTAGTATCATCATATCAAAACAAGAAACACATAAGCCTGTATAATTGATTCATTAACATTCTTACATCCATTAGTTTTGCTCTAGTAGGATGTAATTGTTGAAATGTTTTAAACATTTTATTGAATTGTTGCATTTGGCCTTACTTGAAATGGAATGTGGTAGAGATGGGCGGGAAGGCCTAGCAGGTTGTCAGTAGCAACGACCTCAAATCTTCCATTGTCAACCAACTGAACCTGTTAAGATTAAAAGTATATAACCGCAATTTATATAAATTTTAATATTAATTTTTTTTTTATTGTAAATTGTTTTATCTAGTATTGGATACATGAGCACATGGCATTTTAGAACCATTACTAAGTGTAATCAAAATGAAACGTACCGTAGCATTCTGTGTATTATCGTGCGAAGCAAACAACATTTCAACCCGCACTCTGTGAAACGTATGCCTACTGTCCTCTATAACGCACATATCCAGACGTTTTGCATCCAAGTGTTTCACCCGATGGAGTGGATTTCCAAACCAGCTTTGCAGGTCCGAGCTGAGTTTGACAGCTCCTGATTCCACTGGCATTTCAGCACTTGAAAGATCTGGTTGGCTGCTCAACACCCTAGCAAAGTAATGTGTTGCGTCCACTATATAAGTTATAAGGACCTAGAGAAAAATTGGAAAAACAATTATTAACAATACACTGTATGTACAGTAGTCATAAACAAAACCAGAACAATAACATGGTGTTAACCATTATGTCACTATTTAGCACAATTCAGTTGGGAGACATTTAGGGTTCACCTGGCCAAGTTATTTGAATTGACAAAATTATTTTCTTTTTAAAGGTATGTCCAGTTGTTTCCAAGGTATATGTACATTGGTAATCACAAAAGAATATAGATAAAGAAATTGAAAATTGTCCATGAGTCTTTCAGATATTATTTATCTATTTATTAAGCAAGATATACACCAGATTTTTGTTTTATCAGACTTTGTTTGACAGACATATCTAATCAAATAAATTGTGTGTCATTCTGTACTTGTATTAATCAGTCAATTCTCTCCTTCTTCAGACCAAACTCTGACCAAATACAATCTGTTTGGTCTGTGATAAATGTGATGATAATCACCTTAACATATCCAGACACTGGTAGAGTGACATCACCATTCAGCACCATTGGATTGTCCAACTCGGCATATAGTAGGTGTCGAAAACGACAACGCTCATCACTAAAACAGATAGAAAGAGATGCTATTTAAACCAGACATGATACTTGTCACATTTTAACTGCTGATATGAAAAACAATGACAGTGGCAGATTCAATGGGAAAGGGTGAGCTGACCCGCTCCCACCCCCATAAAATAATTTTTTCAAAAATTATAAAAAAATTTAGAAAAGTATATAATAATAACAAAATTTAAGTCTAAAAGAGCAATAACTTCTCTTTCATCAGCTCCAACCATGGTGGGGCTGTGGTGGGTGGACGCTCTATCTGTGACAGTCCCTCCCTAGGCCCCTCTACTTCAAATTCCTGGATCTGCTACTGAATAATGAAATGCACAACGGTTAGTACCACTGGTTGCAGGGGAAGATTTAGGGCCCCCGGTTTTGGAAAGTAAAAGAAAAAAAAAATTGATCGCCCAAAACGACTTAGAGGTTATCTTTGGGCGTCTAGAAAACAAAATTTCGTGAGGGCATGTCTCCGGACCCCCTAGGGTAGTGTTGTCTCGATCGGCCCCACATTTTCGGCCTCCCCTTTTGGACATCTATGGATCTGTCCAAGTTGAGTAAACTAAGCTAAGCTTGCGCTCTCAACTGTTAACAATCTAACCTGCACTTTCCAAGTGCCTTCAGTTTGTTACATAACTTCTCTGTCTTCTTTCTTTCTTCTTTGTCCTACATAATACAAAAAAGAATTAAATTAAGAGGAGGGGTTAACTAGGTGAAGAATGGCCTGGTTGTTATTCTCATTACTATCATTGTCATCACTGTAAAAGTGATTATAATAGTGATTTACATCAAATAATCAAAATTATGATGTTTGATTTTCCATTTTAAATTTTTATTAATTTGTTATAGGCCCAATGCCAGTGATATGCCAAACAGCTAAGTTTTGTATTCATGATGATGATGATAATAATTATGATAATGATCACAAAGATGATCAAAAAGATATTTATGAAATGAAAAGATGAAGATAATACAAAAAATATTGATGACGATGATGATTATGATGATGTAATGGCGGCAATGATAGTGATGAAGGTGATGATGATGACGGTATGGATAATGATGATAATTATAATAAATAATAATATAATATTCTCAATATGTTTTATTAAATTACTCAGCAATTTTTTAAGTAAGCATCCAAATAAAGTTTCATGATTTCTATTTTGATGATGAATATCAAAGCAGCCTCCTACCTGCTTTGCTTTCTCCACATTCAACTTGGGTGGAAGTTTTTGCCGGCTTTGTTTCAGAAACTGAGCAAACCCAGAAACATGCTCGTAGTCGTCTGAGCCAATCAACATATGAGAAAGACTTTGACATTTTTTGGAGCTCTAGTCAAAAAAACAATATAAAATGCATTACTCATCATAGTAATTTATAGACATATCATCTGGTTATAGCAGAAAACTGGGAGAAAAACACTGACTGTTTTTAATGCTAAGGTTGACAGTTTTAAGTAGGTTTTAAATTTAAAATTTAAATGCCAAAAAAAAAATAGAATTTGCTTGATAATGAAATGATGCATAAATAATAACTTTCATATATTATATATTTTATAAATAGAATCTAAGAAAACTGTATTTTCTTTCAAGATCTGTAAATTTTATCTTTAATCTGTGCATCTATTGGGGCTTATTTGTAGTTTTATTTCTGGATAGTTTTCTTTATCTCTGGAGAGTATTCTTAAATGAGTCATGTTGTGGCAAAATGGCTAAGTTGTAGCAAAAATTGAAGTTCAAGTTATTGGTATTTTCCGATACCTGAGAATGTGATCTTTAAAACGAGGGGTCATTCATTTAAATTGGACATTTCAAGCCTAAGTTATTGGAAAGTGAAAGTACAGTACTCTTAGAGTCAAGATAAACATGATTTTCAGTAATTGCCTTTCAAATATTATTTGCATATATTGTTTAATAGAATGAACTATGAAAAATAACGTTAAACAATTTGTTAACCACTTCTAGAACTAATACTTTGGGACATGATTAATGACACATTAAACTGGTGATCTATAGTAAAAAACAAATTTGGATTTTTAGGGAATTTTTCGAGCTCCCATATTTTATAGCTCATTTACTCAATACTGGACTGTGCGACAACTTAACCATCTTGCCACAACATGCCTCAAATATGAAGTTATTTCAACACCTACAAATATTTTTTATATTCATACCCCTCCAACCAGATAAAATTTATGCTCGTTCAGTAAAACAAATGTTGATAATGTGTCTGGCTTAAGGAAAAAAGTGAACATCATGATATGGATACTGACCTGTTGCAGTTGGTTGACATAGCTATCCCTACAGGACCAAAGACGTTGACCAAACGTACCCTTTGAGGTAGGAAAGTCAAAATGAATTACCCAGGTGGCATTTGTGAGTGTGAACTCGACATCATCTGTGAATACTATGAAGTGGGAGAAGAAAGGGCAAAAGTCAATATGTATTAAATACTATTAAGCAAATAGTGTACAGTTTTGAGGGCACTGTTGGAAAAATACTGACCTGAAGAAGGAATTTTGCATAAAATTTTTTTAAATACTGCAGAGTAATTGAAGGCAAATTCTGAATGCACTAAAGGCTCCCAAGGGCACTGTTCTTAAAAATAAGGTGTTTGTTCATGTGAACATTAGAGAAAGCCTCCTGAGGTGCTGCTGAATTTTCACCAGGGATGGTGCTATACTACTACTGCTTCCCTGGGTTTCCAGCATAAACTTCCAAATTGAAATAAGGCTTCATTTCGCTTTGCTTTTCTAATCTCACCTAATACAGGCGTTGAATCTTTTTGATGGCTGATCCTCCATTCGTGGCATACTTTCTCCACATCATCTAAACTCATGGCATCGTGAACAACCATTGCATAATGACTGGAGCTTAAGAGCAACTGTAGAATTAAAGATACATCTTTTTTTTCACCTTCTAATGATATAGGTTTGTTATCCCTCCACCTAAGCTGAAAATGTGTGACCTCACTGCACTATACTCTTGGTAGGAGGATTGGGGAGCATGTTTATATTTGTTTGTAAGAAAAATCCTGATGTTTCTGAAAGGATTGCACTAATGACCTTGGTATAAGAATGCAAGCACTTTTCCACCTTACCACCAAGAGAGAGCTGCACACTCCTCAGTGAAATAACTGTATAAATATTTACACAAACATAGCTGGTAAAGAATAGCAATGAGTACATGGGATGTTGAGAATACTTTAATTTTCATAAAAGTGTACTTAAATATCTTGGTGGTGAAGATGCTCGCCTGCCAATCCCAGAGTCCTGGGTTGAAATCCTGTAGGATTCCTGAATTCATTCTCATGACACAATACAACTCCTCTCCATAAGCCATGTTATGAGTGGAGTTTTAAAAAAAAAGTGTATTTATTAGATCAAACCATGCAATACATGTACAGAGCCAACAGCTTAACTACCAATCTGGAGGATGTCACTCAAAATAACACCTTCTAATCACCCAAGCATTCTAAACAATCTTACGTGGTGAAGATTAAGCGCATCTTCCTTGTACCGTGTGAAGATCACAATCCTTGTGTCGGCTGGTTGAGCATGAGCCGTGTCTAGTAAATCAAGGACCTTGTTGTATTTCTGACTAGATGGACATGTATGCACGACCTGTGAAAATTAAAATTAAACATAAATCAAATCCACAATTTATATCTAGCTTCAAATTTCCAATTGTACACTAAATCGGAATGACATATATTTTAAGACTATAATAAAACTGATATTGTCATACATTTTTATAATGAATATGTATTCAGTCTGATTGACATGTGAACATTTACAATAAATAATTGTAATGCAATGCATTTAACCCAGACAAAGTGGGGCCCAGTCGCAGCAAAAATCTTAGATGACCCACCCTTTGATAATTCCATATTTGTTTGATCATTTTATTATTTTAACATCAATTTCATTTTTTTAAATAATCTTTAATTCATATACAGTATTATACATATTGCAGTAAAAAATTAGGCCTATCCTTAACAATAAATAAGCATAGGGCTAACTTAAATATGATAACAAAATTTACACATAGGATAAATTTGGAAGTAGCTGTATACACAAATTGAATAAGCTACAGAAGTTGCGACATTTCTTTATAGGAAATATTGCTTGCTTACATTCATAAATATACTTTGTAATACATAATTTCTCAGGTATAGGCCCATCACTTTGAAGACAAAATAAAGTTCTTTAAACAAGATTTAGCATCCAAGGTTCAATTATTGTTTATTTCATCACACACAAAATAAAGCATAATTTGTTTTCTAGGAACAGAAGAAAAAAAAAACAGAATTATAGATCCAAGTTGGTTCCTTTTAAAATAACAAAATTCAAAGAAAAAAATAGAACAATAAAGTGCTTCTAACTGAGAAAAAATATAAAGTGAATATAACACATAAGAACCAATAAAAAAGAAACACGAAAAACTATCTAATAATTATTTATTTGTATTATAATTATTTCTCAACACATTTTATTGCAATTCCTGTAGTCATTGTGGTTTATAAATTTGAGAAATACTATTATAAATTGTGCAAAAGAGCAGAGTAACCAATTATGTAATCATTGAGTAAACAGGTAGGAATCAAGTATTCCTTATCCCATCAGATACAAGAGAGCAAACTATACATTGATAAGAACTGCCCTTTGTAACTCTATGATCAGAAACATGATTCAGGACTGTACATAAATGCTATTCAGTTTTTCTGGCTGCAATATATTACTCCCCTTGAGTATTCTTTGCAATAGTGACGTGGAATGGATCCTACTACTACTCTACTACTTGCCAAACAACCACCATCACTAAAACAAGAGCAAGACAGTCCTCACGAGACGGAAATACAAGTTGATGATGTACTAATTGGTAGAGAGCTTGGTAATGGGGAATTTGGAAAAGTGTATGAAGCAAATTGGGTGAGCAAGAAACATTTGGTTGCTGTCAAGATTGTAGAAGTTTGTCCAGACAGGAAGTGCAATGTCCAGGTTTTCCTTGGTCTTAACCATCCTAATCTGTTGAGAAACTTTGGGATAATCAGAACAACCAGCTGGATAATAATGGAACTATCACCACATGGAAATCTACTGCAGTATTTGATGAATAAAAACGATCAACTGACATCAAACACTCGTCACTCTTGGATCTATGACTTAATTTATGGAATCATTTTTCTCCACGAGAATGGTGTAATACATCGGAATTTAAAATCTTCAAACTGTTTTATATTTGATTCTTGCTTGAAAATTAGCGATGGACTTACAAATCAGAGGTCATTTAATAATACTGATGAGTATCTAGATAGCAATGTTCCATGGATGGCACCAGAGGTTCTTGGAGACCCCACCAGAACAAGTATAATGTCAGATATCTATTCCATTGGCATTGTTGTCAATGAAATCCTGAGTGGGAAAATCCCTTATGGAGACTATACAAAAACAAAACGACAGCTTATGAGAAAAATTATTCACGATGACCTACGACCAACGATTCACAAAAAATGCGGGTCGGAACTGATGAAGCTTCTAACAGAAACCTGGAGCAAGGATTCTAGGTTGAGACCTACTGCCACAGCATTTCTAAGACTGTATCAGAGGTGTTACTTAACCAGCCCAACACATGCAAAGGATATACGTATAAGTTCTGTTGCAAAGAGACTTTTTCTTGACACTAAAGATTCTGGATACAACATCAAATGTCTTCATATTCTACCATCTGGCTATCCTGTGATATCATGCATGCGGCAAACACCAGACTATGTCTTGCACACGAAACTCCTTGTGTTCAAATCTGACTCTGAGACAATGACCTTACATGAAAGCTCTTCAGACTCCAATGATCAGCAGGTTCACATCTGCACAAGCTTTGCCACAAATAGCGTCATCTTTGCTCTATGCTACGAAATCGGAACTAAGGAGTACACATTGATGAAATTTGACATACGTGGCAAGAGCATCGGAAAGGTCAACCTCGAAGGCTTAAGCCAGAAATTGGATACACTTCATTATCATGGAATCACCTGCGACAGAAGTGGTTTCATCTACATTATAACATGTCAGGCAAAACAGCCAAAGCATGGTTTCTTAAAATTCTCGTGTGTTGGAGAACCATGTGGAGAGATTACCCTTGACAGCATCACCTCCCCAAATTGGGTAGACATCAAAAACAATATATTGTGGGTTGCTAAACATCAAGGGACATGCAACCACAAAGGCAACAATGTCATCGGTGCATTCGACCTTGAAGGCCAGCCTTTAGCTAGTTTAATCAACCCATATTTAGTATGCAAATATGAGCCGTTTCTTAAGAGTTTCTGCTTAGCCATCTCTCCAAACGGATTTTTGATTGTGTCCGATTATAGTGGAACTCGGTTTGTTCTAAATTACCAGGGAAATGTAGTTTACGATGACATCCGTGCAAGTTCTAACGTTATGTATGGCAATATGGAGCTGATTGGAAAACGATACCTTGTGCAGCAGACATGGAATAAACAGGGATACCCAGATGTTATCCAGTATTACACACTCCTTGCGGATTACAAATTCTCATAAGGAATGTTAATCTATAATGACTATTTAATGTTAAAGGTAATTAAATCATATAGTTTTTGTATTTAACTATATTTCACGAGGGGAACCCTAATGGCTATAAGTTCTCGCCACTTCACATAATTAGTTTGACATGGAGTCACTTGAATCTTCAGACGAGGCGATTTTTTAAAACCATCAGAGCCAGCTGAATATACCTAGCTGAATAGCGAAAAATATCAATGTATGTTTTTACACTATCTTATAAATCAAAGAAAGAATTCTTACATGGCGGATTCTACCATACACTGCTGCCTCTAGCTTGTGAGCTATGATGACAAGCGGGTCAGATTGGTAGGCCTTCATGAATGATTCAAGACCAGCAGTCCAGTGGGAACTGAATGCAAGGATCTGGCGTGGAGCTGAACGGCTTGGCTGGTTCTGCAATGTCTTGCCATACTCCTGCATAATTTCTCGTACCTCTTGAGTAAAGTCAGAGAACACCACATCAGCATCATCAAACACCTGTAAATTAGTAAATAATCTATCTTATAAAGGTGAAAAGGGAATGAGGATGCAAATGTGGTGGCTAGCATTATAAAATAAGGACTATTCTATTTAATTTTGAGAGGTGTACTAGTAAATAAAGAGTTGGGTTGAGAAGTGTTTTTGAGAGGGCGTTTATTCGAAGGAGGCATTAATAAATGCCCCTAAATTTCACTGTAAAAGTGGACTTATTGATCCCAAGCAGGTTTGAAAAAATGTAATTCTACTGGAGTAGAAAATTAATAGAATGTGTTGAGAACGATGTTTCTGCCATTAGAATTGTGTACAATTATTTAGGAGGGCCATTATTCAAGAGAAATATAGACACCTTGGGGCGCTTCTTTAAGGGAAGCGTTTATTCCAAATTGGGTCCTAGATGGGGCATTTATTCGAGGGGGAGCTTATTCAAAGCGGGATGTTTATTCGAATAAATACAGTTAATATACTAAACAAAAGTTCAGTATTTGGATTGCTTACTTTGTATTAAGTTATTAGACTTACCAAGTGACAAAGCCTTTCTGTATTGAGGTGAGATTTCTTCAGCAAACGCAAGAAACATAATGGTGTACCAACAAGGATTTCACATCCATTTATTAGATCAATCTGAAATAAATTCAATATTTAATATTTATACTATTTTAGAAAATTGTAATTTTTGACAAGAGGATGGCTATCAACGTTATTGCATACATTTTAACGTCTTACATTTTCATAATTGATGGGCGCACACTCAGTCAAAGGTCGTCAGCCAACGTAATTCCATGACGAACCTGTTCAGACTACAACCGACAATGGACCTTTCCGCTAAGCTCCGCCCCTTGGATATTGTTGCTAAGGTCCCACAAGACGACTGTTAAAACATAGCGAGCACGTGCGTTTGTGGGACAACATGTGCGTTTGTGAGACATGCGCGTATTCCTAGCGCTGTTCTGATTAGTCAGTTGTTAAATTTGATTGACACTCCATTGAACACTGTCATGTAGGGCGGACGAGATGGGTTTGTCAGCCAACTCAGTGTGCACAGCTTAAACTAGCATTCACCCTGATCAGAATATAAACACTCTGTGCTTGGCTGTCTAATGTAATTCCAAAATATCTATTATATATTATGAGCTTGGGTGGACGATTCCATTATTTTCAAGGTAAGCTTTACAGAATCGAATAGAATACTAAGCTTTAGCCTATAAGAATGATTTAATACTTGAAACCTACTTCCTTATTTTCCTCAGCCCCAGCTCCATGGATTACCAATGCTCTCACATATTTTGCATTTGGCAGCATACTCTGGGCATCGTCGTACACTTGTTTTGCCTTCTTCCATCGTGGCACTATCACAATAATTAGAGGCTAGCAGAAATATAAATAATAATGATATATAAGTGTGGAGTGGAGTGGAATAGTGTAGAGTGGAGTTGAATAGTTTAGTGGTTAAAATGTTTGCCTTCTAATCCTTGGTCCTGGGTTGAATTCCTGCGACAGCAGGACTTTCTCTCAGGACTAAAAGCAAACTCCACTCCCTAAGCCTCATAAAGAGAATTCACTGATAAAAGCATCACATTATTTCATTTATTTAAAGAGGGCCTGCATATCAGCTGACCTTCTAGGATACAAAGGGTCACTTTCTATAAATATGTTTTGTTTTTTTTTCTTTATTTACTTGTTATATAAAAAAGCTAAACATTCACTGAGCCTCTTCTAATTTTAAATTGAAAAGTAATTAAATATACAAAGGAAACAAGTCAATTATGGAATTTTATTATTCAAGTTTATTACAGTAGAACATAAAATAATCACAACTTTTATGGTGATAATTTGTATTGTACATATATTCTGATAGGTATTGATGTGCTTTTCCAACGAAAGGAACAACTACACAACAACAAAGAGAGAAGCATTGATTATAGATTTCCTCTGTATTAAACTTACCCCAGTACCCCTAGGCAAGGCACTATAAGCGCTAGGCTGTACAACCTGAGTGAAGAGGGGTAGCAGGTAGGCATGGCTCCTATTCTGCCTGGACACACCAACCATGTCCCTGCCTCTTAAAATGGTCGGCCAGCTATGAGACTGAATCAGGCTAGGGCTACAAAAATTTTTCTTTTTTAGCATCTAAACAAAAGCAATTAAAACAAAAAATATATTGTTAATATACATAAAACTTGTGTGAAATACTCACACAAATAAGCAGATAGATTTTATGTCAAAAAGCTATTAATAACAAAATATATATTATTGCCTCCTCCGGTGCCACCGAAGGATCTACGTGCGCAGCAGAAGCCAAAACCTACGGCTACGCCGCACCCACAAATCCCTCAAAGGGAGACAATGAACTCGCCCCCCGGAGCGGTAGGCGTGGCCACCACAGACACAGCCGCCTTACGAAGGGATGCTCAGACTGCCACTCTAAGACGGTAACAAAACGAGATGGCGGCCACATCACACAAATCTCGCCCCACAAAGCCTCACTGCAGGTGCAGCAGTGAGGGCACAAATCCCGATGGTTGTCTATCTTGGGGCTAGGTTTAGTGTTAGGGTTAGGGAGTGAGTACACTCTGCTTTAGATATCTCTATGAATCCAAGTAGATAAAATCTTCCAAAATCCAGAGATAAAAATCCAAATCTTTGTTATAACACTCGTAAATATTGAGGCGATATGTTCATAGAACATCTTTCGAAAAAGAATGAGGATGAAGCATGGTTGTGGGATCATTTGTGCTTGGCGCCAGGGACGACTGTTCCATTTTGCTTTTGAGGGGTGTTCTCATGTGTGAAAAAATAATAGGCAATTAGTCGGTTTATCCAAGTAAGTATTCACGAAATAGACATATTATTGCCTATAATTTTATAACTATGAAAAATGCTACATGTTTTTCTTAAAATAAAAAAATACATACTCTTTTAAACATATCAGGGAATGGTGCTTCTTCAAGCTCAACAATAGGCTTTAGAGGGCGGTCTCCATGTACTAGGGTGAAATCCTCTGAGAGTTGCTGGCTTTTAGTTGGAAGGCGACCAGCAAGAAGTTGGTTCTTCAACCTGAAAGAAACAGGATTTTAAAATGATCAATTTTGATGTTGATTTTCAATCAACATGATTTGGTCATTATTAAGTTTTAGTTGTGTGCTATTCATTTTACTGATTAACTTGAGTTTAACATGGAGAATAACTCAATTGACTTTATATCCAAATGGTTGGAAAGATGGTGCTATAACAAAACAAGTTATCATGGAAAACATAGACAGCATTATATGACTGAAATCATTAGTAAGCTGTGTTGTCAACCAGTGAAAGCTCTAACAGAAACATTAATAACATCAATGTTTTTACCAGTTCGAAATTGGGATCATTCAAAAGAAAAATATCATATTACAAAAGATAAAACTTAATTTTGAATATGAATACATGATGACTGATAAATGTATTTACCTGGATAAAGATAAATGAGTGTTTCTATTTAATTGATTTACTTTGTTTTTATGTATATTTACTAGTGTTTTGTTAATTTTGTTTGCACATAAACCAATAAATCTGAATCTGATGAACAGCCATTACCTTTCCTGGATTAATTTCTTGTCAAACTCTTTTGTCAGAGTACTTGGTGTACCAAAATCAGTTTCCTTAAACCTAGAATAGAATATAAAATTAATACTGTATAAAATCCCTGTTTTGTGCAGAAGAATGATTGAATAATGTACTCTAGGAAATCTACTGCCATTAAGATGGCCCAAAAAGCTTGCAAAAAAGCTTCAAAAATTTACTAAGTTTTTTTTTTATATTTGTATAGTAACCAGCAAGAACCAAATAGAAATGAAACTTAAAAATTCTTACAGTATAATAAATAATTAAAATTCATTATTAATTAAATCCACCTGTGATCAAGGAAAACTCCTTTTGTGACCAAGAAACATGATCACACAAAAACCCTGTAATCACAGAGAATCAAAAATTCCTTCAAAATGCCGGTCCCTAAACTTCTACCAACTTACCTCTCTTCAAAAAGTTTGCTGGATTTAGCCACTGGACTTGGTGACTTCAAAATACCAACTAACTTCTGTTGCCTAAATGAGAAAAAAGTATAGCAATTGATTCAAACGCGAAATTTAGTAAAAAGTGCAGAATTTCAAGATATGTGACATTAAGCAACCATATGTGTGGTTTCCGTAAAAAAGGCTATCAACTATATTAAACATTTTTTTTTAATTCTAGTGAGTTTTAATTAGTAAAAACAAATCTTGTGAATAATACAAAAAAAATACATTTGTACTTACATGTGCTTTTCCTCTGCTCCATCTGTGCTATCCTTGATAAGTTCCGGCTTCCAATGAACACGCTTAATGTGCTCAAGACTGCCATCCAAGCTCTGACTGTGATGACCATCAGAAGATTCCCTAAAATTACCATCCAAGACATGACTGTGACCATCATTGGACTGGCCAAACAAACTACCACCCAAGCTACGGCTGTGCTGACCATCAAGGGACTGCCCCAACAAACTACCACCCAAGCTATGGCTGTGCTGACCATCAAGGGACTGCCCCAACAAACTACCATCCACACTTTGACTGTCCTGACTATCCACAGACTGTTCTTTCAAACTGCCATTCAAGCTCTGACTGTGATGACCATCAGAAGATTCCCTAAAATTACCATCCAAGACATGACTGTGACCATCATTGGACTGTTCTTTCCAACTGCCATTTGAGGCTTGAGTCTGCAAACCAACTGGAGACTGCTCAAACATCTCAAGAACATTACGCCGCCGCCTTCTTCTATGTCTATCAGGTGAAGACAATTCACAGGAATCAGAATCTTTAGACGTATATGTGTCTGATGCAGATAATGCAAAAGCAGTTATCATCTCTGCCATTGATGCAGTACGTTTCTGTGTGGACTTAACTACTGTGTTATTGGCATCATCTCCTGAGTCGAGAATTGGCGACATTTGCACGCGCATCGCTTTCATTGATGATGCTTCTGTATTGTCTGGTGCATTTTCATTGCTTGTTAATTTTTTCCGAGATGATTTAGTGTAAAAAAATGTATCCGAGTCGGTGCTTGTTTCTTGATCATTTTTATAATCTCTGATGGAAACATTAGGACATTTTTTTGACCAAGGAGATGGAGAAAAGGTACTGAAAGAATCTGATTCACTCAATTCTTGAGGGAATGTGAAAGTTGATGTTTTTGGACTCTGATATTCAAGTCGGTTAACTCTTCTCCTTGATATCATTACTGGTTCCAACTCCTCTTTCTTCTTATTCTGGGATCCGAGGTTATTGCCATCCATTTTTGAAAGCATATCTATTATCATTTTTCCACGTCCAATTGCCTGCTGCTTCCTCCGTCCTGAAGTAGCCTCTGTTTCGGACCAGCGATCCTCAGAACTTTTAGACATTCCGTCATCAGGAACACCCCACGACTGTCCATGAACATTGCGTTCTAATGTTTGACTAAGAGATCGTAACATTTCCTCCTTTTTGAGGTTCTCCAACTTTTCAATTTGTTCTACTAATTTGCTGTCATCATCATTTGTTTTTTCTCCTATATTCATGGAAACAGCTCTGGATTCTTTCTTCTCTTCAATTTCATCTAATTCTCCCTCTTTTTCTGCTTTTTTTTCTTCATATTCTCTAAACTGCTTCATCAGGTAACCATCAACATCAACTTTTTGAAAGGTACTAACATTCTCTTTTTCATCACATTTTCGGGCTGAAATCAAAACAAAAACACATTAACTGAAATCACTGAATGATTAAATATTATTGAAACTATGGTCTCAGTAAGTTCACTTACAAGACAATCCCACTTCGTTTTTGATGGCGTATTGTTTCACCACAAGATCCTCATTCATGTCGATCTAAAACAGAAATAGTAATGTTAGCATCAAATAAGTATAATATGAACATAAATTGAACAGTTGCTTCCGGAGGGTAATATAAGGAAAAAGAGGAATTGAAAGACTAAGGCTTTTGAACTGTCGACATCAAGGAATATTTTTTATGAGATATGGGAATGTCAGGATGGCACAAAGACTGAAGAAGGTGGGGATGCAGCACTCATGAAAATAAGAGACAGTTACTGTTACATATTATGCATTTTATATTGTGTATTAATTGTATGGCAACAAAAGCCTTGGTGTCTCATATTAAAATTCTAATAGCATAAAGTTGAATAATAAACACATACTTACCAAGCCCTCTAAAGGCATATTCAGGTATAAGGTCACATAGAAAATGCTTGATGAGTTGTCATGGTGATGAACCTCAACCTTGGAGGATGTTGCCTCTGTGGAAAATAAACATTTTAATTAACTTGATTGAACTCAACCAATTGCAGGAATTTAGTGGAGGCATGATGGTTAAGATGCTTGCCTTCCAATTCTACAGATTTTAGTATTAAATTGGTTTTCATAAAATAACAAATTTTAACTTACTCTCTCATGTAATGTTCAAATATTAGAATTAAATTGACAAATAACTAGACATAACATATCTGCATTTTTTAAAACTATACTAAAAAAAACTTGTATATAAAGTAATGTAAATTTTAAAAAAAACTGCTAGAATATTAACAAATGTTCAATTAAGCTTACTTAAGGAGAAGCAAATTCACTTTTTTTATATAAATTGAGAATTGCAAAATATAATATCAGATTTGTTAAATTGTTCTGACCTTTGACAGCATTCTTAAAATACACAACTGCAGCCTTGTCCCACATCTTACATGGTCTACAAGAAAAAAATTAAAATAAATTTCATAATGCAAAGTGAGGAATACAATAAAAACTATTGTTAAATAATGATGACGATAATAATGCAAGAAGATTGGCAACAACAGACAAAAAAAAGAAAGCAGCACTGCCACAGCAGTAAGACACAAAATTTTAAAAAATGCATTTTTTGTTACCTTTTATACCTTCGACAACAATAATAATTACCACCACCTTAATATTACAAATAGGTACTAAATTAATTGCAAACTTTTTTCTCACTTTAATATCACCATTTCTAGTTAATATTATTTATAAATATTTAATGAAATTCCATGTTATTCAATAAACAACTATATTTGTGAAATAGTAATTTACAAACATATTCATATTGATGAGCATCTTTATTAAAAGATAAAATATGATATATAACTTTATATTGTTCTAGAACTATTTTAATCATTAATAAAATAACACAATGGATGTTAATTTACTGCGAGCTTTTGTCGATGTTAAGGCCAACTCAGACAGCGTCGTACGACGCACCCTGACACGATTCATCATCGGGGACAGTCTTAAGCCGTTGTGAGAAATATTAACATGTTTAATATTCTACGACGCGACTGCTCTCGACGCAAATCATCGCGTCTGCGTTTAACTCACACAGACCTGACACAAAAACAAATCATACGACGCTGTCTGAGTTAGCCTTTATAAACACAACTTCATCAGGCATTGCGAGCTGGTGTGTAAACAACGCCCGCTGGTGCCAGCTTTATTCCTGTCAGGATTGGTTTCGGGGGCCCAGCCTTTTAGAAAAGTTGGTCAATAAATAACAAATACTGTATCATTAACAATTATTATCAATCAAGGGAGTTACTTATTCAGAAAACTTGGTGTACTTACTTTGAACTGACGGACAAATCAACAAAACAGGTTTCAAGAGTCAGAGGTTGAGTTTTGTAAAGTCGAGCCTCTTTCACTTGCAATGGTACTTTTAGAAATTCACTTGGCAATTCCCGTAACCTATGAACATAATTGAAATGCAAGTGTTATAATATTAAACTAGAATATTTATCACTTTTGCCCATACAGTAATAATATCAAAAAAACGAACAAACAAACAAACAAACAAATAAATAAACTAAAAGAAAATTCATAAAATGCTGCAGCTCTCTGCAGGTGGAAATAGTGCCAGAGGCAGTTCTCTCTTGTACAATGACTACAGTAAATGTAAATACAGCCCATTAATACCAAGACCAGTAAGATTTACAAGAGCAATAATGGAACTCTATAATATTTATAGTGCCCAGAACTACCATGACCATGATCTCACCAATGAAAACTTTACTATGAATACATTTGGTCAGTTGATAACAATACTGTACATCGAAAGAAGCAACCAGTAGAAGAATAAACTTCGCGTGTGCTGCATAAAACCAAAAGATGCCCAAATAAACATTTGTACAAGGTCTTTAACCATTGACCATTTTTACTGTGGCCATGAGGTCAAGAAGAAAGCGTTCACGTCATGGCCCCGTTTTTACCATGTCTTTCACCACTACAGTATACGCAAAAATTGTCAAGTTTTTTAGAACTAAATCGACATGGTTCCACAGAGTATGAACTTGTGTGATAAGAAGACTGTGGTCATATACAGATACTACTCACCAGCTTGTTGGACTCCGGATGCTTTCAGCAAAATCCAGCAGATATAAACTGAGGATTGATAAATTAGTTTAGGTTAAAATGTTTAAAATCTCAATACAAAAATGGATTGATAATGATGATAATGAAAAAAATAGTGATGATAATAAAGATGATGATGATGATCATGATCATGATGATTATGAGGATGAGGAAAAATAATGAAGGTAATGATTATGAGGATGATGATGATGATGAAGATAATGATGATGATTATGAAGATGAGGATGATGATAAAGATGATGATTATGAGGATGATGATGAGGATGATTGTGAGATGATGATGAAGATGAAGATAATGATGATGATTATGAGGATGATAATGAGGATGATGAGGAAGATGGTGAAGATAATGATGATTATGAGGATGATAATGAGGATGATGAGGAAGATGGTGAAGATAATGATGATTATGAGGATGAGATAATGAAGATGATGATGAAGATAATGATGATGATTATGAGGATGATGATGAGGATGATGAGGAAGATGGTGAAGATAATGATGATTATGAGGATGAGATAATGAAGATGATGATGATTATGAGGATGATAATGAGGATGATGAGGAAGATGGTGAAGATAATGATGATTATGAGGATGATAATGAGGATGATGAGGAAGATGGTGAAGATAATGATGATTATGAGGATGAGATAATGAAGATGATGATGAAGATAATGATGACGATTATGAGGATGATGATGAAGATGACCATGCTCAATAGAGCCAACAAAGTCTCATTAAAGACGTTGATGCTAGTGGTGGTGATAACAATGATAAATAAATTCATTACATTATATTTGATGACAATGATAATAGAAGTGGTGCTAACAATTAATAATATGCCCCTTGACGGAAGATAATATTTTAGTTTATAAAAACCATTAAGATTTGAAACATAAAGTATTCAAAATGTATTAACTAAATGTTTTGAATGACAATGGACAAGAACTGTAACACTGATATAAGTTCGTTTTTTATGTTCTTTGCCATATGTTCAAATAATGTTTCATGTTGCATAAATCATAATAAATCTTAAGTACCTTGCTTGAGGGCCTTGGGTGGATTGCATGATCGTTTGAATTCTAGCCCTGTACCAGCGTTTATCAGTTGCTCTTTTCGCCAAGCAAAGCTGATGTTACAAAAAAGATTGGTTAATAATAATTATACACAGGCTTCATAGTATTAGGCGAGACTTTTTTTATACCCTGTTTCGCAAACTTATTTTTTTAAAGATTCAATGTGTTGTGCTACATGTTGTGGGGAAAAAAATACAATTCATCGGGTAGAAAAAACAATTTATTATATGAATACATGTATTATATGAATACATAAAGAATCTAAAATCACCTTTGAATCTAAATAAGCCTTTGAAACCCTTAAACTCAAAGAATTTGAGCTACGCCCAACCACGCTCACTTATGCTTTCGTCTGTGACAAATTGGTCTCCTGTCCTGAGGATCGTACCCCCTCCCCCTTGTCGGACAAATGCTGGCGCCACCCCTGAAACAGATATTATCATAGAGAATATTATCTACCTGTCCTTTTTCTGGTTGTAGTACATATTTACTGATATGAAGGTGCGATGCACAGTGTTCTTGGATCCTCTCTGTTAAATCCTGGAACAGTTTAGTTTCACTTGACATTCTGGGGCCTGGAGCCTCCTTCAACCAGAAACGCCATGGATTGTCCACCTAAAGAGAAAAGACCTGTTGATAACTGAAATAGGCCTAGGTACTTATTATTTCTAATTTAAAACAGTGGCCTAGCCTAGGATTACATGAAATTTACCCCTCCCTAATATCGAAAAGATTGAAAAAATGTCGCATCATAAAACTTACCTTCAGAATGGTTACATCGACTGCCATTCTTCCCTCTCTCTATCCCAGGCAGACTGGGCAGACAAAACAAATTTCACTGCAAAGGAGATTATTCAATTTCCAACACCCACCCAACAGTAACAAAAACCGAACAGCCTAAAGTTTGTCACAAATTGTCCAATAATCTAGTAATTTCGTGACTATTAAATAACAACAGAGATGAGATTTTTCATCAGAACTTGACTTTTGAAGTCCAAACTTCTCATCCGAGTTCTCCTCAAGCCAGCAGCTAAGAAAGAGGTGGTGTTTCTGCAGTTCCCTCATAGCCACATGCGAGATTTGTGTTTCGGATCTACCAGGTTGACAGATTCAGCAGATATGGGAGAAGGAGATACGATTTTTTAAACTGGGAGGGATTTCCCATGCGCGCCTCACTGGATGTCATTTAGGCTAGACGTAAAGATGGCAGCCGACGATGGACGGCACAAATCGCAACCAGGGCTGTCGAAAAATGTTAAACAAATGAAGGTACTTATACAAATTTCATCATTGTATGTATTTAATATTGTTGTATTAGTAAATGGTATTAAATAAATTTATAAGTGTTCACTGGCTAGGAGGCCCGTCATTAACTAGCCTAGACTTGGACGGGCATACAGAAATCTTGTTGACTTGGGAGAACGCTTCAATGCCGCACTGAAACAGCGTCCGTTGTGTCACCATTAGTTCGGCCTAGGCCTAGGCCTAGCCCTTGTATGGATTTTCCCTTTGTGTAGTCAAGATATTTTGCTTACCTTAGTACCCCCCGCCTCAATTTTAAAAGGAAAAAAAACCCAAATTTTTTGTGCAAAAAAAATAAAATTATAATAATCAAATTTAAGACAGAATGCCATTTTCAGCCCTCTGCCGCTGGGACTGGCGGAGACTGGCTATACGTACAGCGGCTGTGTATACAATAAAAGTGGTTTTGTTATATGCACAGCGACAAGCAACCAATTGCAGCACACCAAAATATCACATGATTAAAAAAGCTGCTGTGCGTATAAGATCCGTTCTGTCCTTATATACACAGCCGTTGTGCGTATAGCCTTGTCCAATCATAAATGCCCTCTAAGAGAGCAGCTTAGCTCAGTGAGCTAATCTTGTGGTAGCCACTGTGTGTGCGCTGAACCATGGAGATCTCTAGATCCCCGGGTCAATTTCCATCGCTGCCTCTCCATGTGTTCTTTCAGCTGGAGGGCTGAAATACAAAAAGGTACAATAGCGCACCGTCTTTCGGATAAGACATTTAAGCCATTGGTCCCGTGTGCATTTATGGCCCATGTGCATGTTAAAGAACGCATTACACTCATGGGAAAAGAGTAGGAGATTGTCTCCCGGTGTACTGCCCAATCACCACCAGAAGGACCCCACTGGAAATAAGTTTTTTTCTAGACTTTTGTGGGCTATCCTTGGTGTTTACACCAAATAAATCCAATCTAATCTCATCCTTTCCTCAACTGTGGTGGGGCTTAGGTGGGAGAAACCTCCATCTGTGAAAGTCCCTACCTGGGCCCCCTCTATTTTGAATTGCTGGATTCACCACTGCTAAACATAACACAGCCAAACATTAAAACATGTGTGTTTGTGGGACATGCATATTTTTTGCTCTACCTATTGAATAAAATGTTTCGATTGGACAGTTATTAAGTATGATCCAATCTCATCCTTTCCTCAACTGTGGTGGGGCTTAGGTGGGAGAAACCTCCATCTGTGAAAGTCCCTACCTGGGCCCCCTCTATTTTGAATTCCTGGATTCACCACTGCTAAACATACCCTACTTTAAGAAGAGTGACTTGCCAATACTGTATGGTTGTATGTACAATATATCAAATGTTAACAAAACATGCATTTGGTATTATCCACAGTTTATGCAGCGAAAATTGGACAGGGATGTAATAGAGGAATCAAAGGAACAGGACAGACAGCACAAGATAGATGATGACCATTGGGTGCTGGACCTGCCGGAGTTGAAACATAAGATGTAAGTCCAATAGCAGAGCCCCCTCAAGCTCTACAAAAATTTTGACTGATTAACTTCAGTTAACAGAAACGGAGAAGAATACTACGCAAATATATCATTAGTCCAATGCATAGGACTAATGACAATGAATTTCCTCAGAACTACCGTACTCGCACGAATGAGCACCCTGTTTGACTAAGCACATCTCTCGAATAAGCACCCCTCCAAAAGTGAAAATTGTCTTAAGCGCCCCGTTTGAATAAGCGCCCATCCTAATTTGAATAAGAGCCCTCTTTATTCATTTTTTAAAATGATATTTTGTGATTGATTTTTTTTTAGCAAATGATAATCTAACTAATCCCTAGAGTGTAGTTGCCATGATTTGAGCTGCGGATTGGATTCACATTTGCTTATGTCAATTTCAAAATGAGGATTTTCTCCTGGACAGATGGAAGCTCCCTTGTCAGTATCTTTCCAACTTTCCTCTTCTTACGTTTGTCTACTTCTCTTTTTCTTTTCCCGACAATTTACGTTTTCATGTGAGTTTGCAAGACTTAAGCCTGCAATGATCCTGCTAATCTCAATCGGCAGATGGCCAACAAGTTTATACACCACCACCACTAATTTCATCTGCTGTTGAAACTCACAGCATTTCTGTCATGAGCCATGCTCTCTGGACGATTATCTTTTCTGCACCAGAACCATTCGTAACCTTTGGTTTCCAGATGTCCTTATACAATTCTTTTTTCATTCAAAAAGTGCCCATTTAGATTTCCAAGTTCCCAGAAGAACCCTTCAATTTTCATGTATTTCCATAAGCACCCCTTCAATTTTCACTCTGTTTTCATAAGCGCTCCATTTGAATAAGCGCCCCTTAAAAAGTGCAAAAAATATTTTAAGCGCCCGGCCACTTATTCACGCGAGTACGGTAATAGACCTTTTGTTCCTGGAAAACTTGAATTTGTGAGATTAATGATAGATAAAATGTGAAACATTAGAAAAAGTGATCCATAAATATTCTAAAGCCCAACCCCCTTCGATGTTGTTGCTAAGCTCTCACAAAACCACAGCCAAACATTAAAACATGTGTGTTTGTGGGACATGCATATATTTTATGCATATTTTTTGCTCTACCTATTGAATAAAATGTTTCGATTGGACAATTATTAAGTATGATTGACACCCCAGAAAGGTTCATTATAAAGTAGCTTAATTTTTTTGATTGCAGGAGTAAATATGAAATTGAAGCGAGCTATGTGAAGTGTGAAGATCTGATGTGGGGCAGAATGTCATTCAAAGGCATGGATCCACTTATTGAGGTACGTAGTGTAGTGTAGGCCCAGGCAACACCCAGGATGTGAAGCTTTTGAGAAACTATACACTCCCATGTCCTATTTCATCGTCTTTTCACAGAAATTACTACCCCTTTTGAGTTAACACTTTGACTGCCAGACCTTTTTAAGGTTCTTTCCCGTGTGCCAAAACAAGTTTATACTGTATGTACAAACATACTTTTTTGAAATTTTATCTAGTCATATTATCATCAAAATGATGTGTCAAATAAATTGGCAGGAAAATATTAGGGGACGCCGACGAGTAAACTTGTCGACAGCACTGTGTTAGCACTTTTTATTGACTATGCCAAGTGCGAGTTACCTCTACTGCTTTTTGTATGGGTTGGTATATGTTCTTGTGCCACTCGAGTGTACTACCAGCAACATATCGTTATCGTCTAGATGTATCTTAAGTTAATCTTTAAGTTATAAACGCTAGAATGTTACCCCGATTTTGGCAACTTTCGCTGGTGCCCTCATACAACACCCTGTGGACAAGTATACTCGTTGCTGTTACTGTTAAAACAAAAACCTGAACTATCTAATTCAGCTTTTAAATTTAAGTTACTGCTTTGACTTGATATGAGTTTATTCGGGAAATCCCCATACAGTTACAATAAAATTTTAAAAGGGTGGCAAATGTGTGTTCAATGTTTTAAATATTTGAGGTTTTTTCTTATTTTTTTTTATTCAAAGAAAATGATGAAAAATAATGAGGCAAAAGAAGAGGAAGATGATGAAGAGGAGGTAACAATTGATTCAGGAGAAACGATGATCACTGATGAAGAAATGGCAAAACAGTAAGCTTATTTTTCGCATATACTTCTCTTAGCTTAACTAAGTGCTCGAAAAAATATGAAGAATAGAGGGCAGATTTTGCTTGGGCTTTTTCCCATTATCATATATTCTCAGGTATAATCTTTACTAATTATTATGGAATGACAACAACAAATCATTTGTTTAATTTTGTTTAGGTATTCAACTCTCGTGGAAACGATAGGAAAGAAATTTGGCAAGAAACGCAATATGAGCACTAATTCATCTTCAACTGAGAAACCAGCCAAGAAAAAAAAGAAAAAAGGTTTCTTGAAGCCAGCCTGCTGAAATTACCAACCTGCAACAGAGTTTAAATGGATGCTATATGGAAAATATATTGAACTACAGTAGTAGCTATATGGAAAGTATATTGAACTACAGTATAGCTATATGGAAAATATATTGAACTACTAGGGCTAGTAGCTGCATTCATGGCATTCCTGCAGCATCACCTAAATAGGCAGATACTGTATCAACCTGCCTAATAACAAAACAGAGTTTAAATACAGGTGGATTAGCAGTGTCTCAGTGCCAGGCCAGATCCAGGAATTTGAAATAGAGGGCGGCCCAGGGAAAGTCAAGAACACCTTAGTTAGAGTCTTCTCCGCCTCCTCCCCCCACCACACAACTTTCCAGATTTTGTGCTGCAAGTATAAGCTATCTGTGGAGTGAGTCAATGTAATGATTATAAATTTGTTGTCTTAAATTTCAAGCACACAGTGCAAATATTTACCTCAGTGTTTTAGAGGTGCTCTGGTAGCTTGTATCACAAAAGCAGAAGCAACTGCTCATTGTACCTTCAGATGTAGCCCAATGATGCTATTCACAGGAAGCACTGAAAGGAATGAGGGAGGTAGAAATGTAGAAACTGAAAGGAAAATTGGAACAGTAAAATGGGATAAAGGGAGGGGGACAACCAGGTAAGGAATACAGTATGAGTGGAAAATGGAGACAGAACCTTTTTCTAGTGCCCTAGTATCCAAAAACTTATAATCAATCAAAATTAGCAGCATCAACCAAACAGAATTTAATTGTCTCTTGGAGGTGTTGCATGTTTATCATTGTTAATATCTAATTTGTTATTTTTTAAATGAAAATACAAGAAAATTCAATTAGTTTAAATCTCTATTTATATACCATCAATTTCTCCTGATTTCATACGGTATTATTTTAACAGTAGGTATTACAATACTAACTTTATATAATATTTGTGTGAGATCAACTTGCTTAATTTATTTAATGTTTAAGCTTGCTTTTCATACAATCCCTACACGCTGTCGCCGACATCTTTAGGTGATGCTGATTGGTCGGTCGAATCGAGGAGCCTACCCAATTGAGTCAGGGATGCTACACAGCACAACAATTGCACTGAAAACACTGTAGCAACAGTGTAGCGGTTGTATGGAAACCAAGATTTAATCTTGTTAATTTTATTCTATAGAAGCTCAGATGAACTTGATGTACATTTTAATGAAATTTTAAACCACCGTTATATACTGTTTCTTATATCTACAATATAATTAATTATATTTATTAGATGGTCAAACCAAGAAATTGAATTGGGCCAATCTTGGAAGTCGCATATTGTAGACGATCGGTACCGAAATCAAAAAGGATTTTATTACTTTTTTGTGTACTGTTATTGTTACATCATGTTTATATGTGTCTGTCAATAAACTATGATTGTACTAAAAAATGTGTTGCTTTTTATGTTGGTAATTTTAGAACAAAAATGACAGATCCGTACAGCGCCACCAACGATAAAGTTAATTTAGAGACGGAATGAAAAAGAAATCAAGTATGGGACGCCAATTAAATTATGTATGGCGCGCGCTAAGCGCAATAAAGAGTGGGTAACTAAAAATTAGTGCCTGGAAACCAGGCTGGACAATAGCATGCCTTGTTTGGGTCACCAAAACATGTATGAGGGTCGCGAGACTGCTTCCAACTTCAAAAAAAAAAACAAAAAAAAAACACAGACTTGAGAAATAGGCCTACACCCAGACGTACAGTAGCTACGTACGAAGACTCACGATAGAAATTCATTGTCAACCCAAAACCTATTCTCAACGTTGCACTATCGCCAATCCCACAAAGGATTGATAAGATCATTAAAATTAGGGAGGAACATTATAGCTCAAATTAACACTACAAACCAGTTAAAAATATATAAAAGTTATCGCGTTTAAAATGATAAATTGCTTCTTTTCTCTTCGAGTTCGTTTGCCCTTTTGCCAAAGGTGGGGACGTACAAGCTTCATTTTTCGCTCATTTTGACTGTGCTTAAGAAGTCGAAAATTCGAACTTTTTTTACATTAAACATTTCAAAATTACGAGTGTAATAAATACGGTAAAACCTTGAATTGAAGCCGAATGGGATTAATCTCGAGAAGAAGCTCATCTAGAATTGAAGCTCCCCTCTATAGTTTGCAAAAGCAGCCTCAAAAAGAAGCCCATCTCATGGGCTTCTTTTCAAGATAGCATGGGCTTTTTTCGATAGTACAGTACTGTACATGAATTTCAAAGCAACAAAATAAAATTAAAAACATACTTGGTTGGTACAATAGTTAAGGCGATTTAATACCGGTTAATACACTCATGATACAGACTGATGTTACAGTGGCCCTGTTTATTTTTATAGTAGGTTTTACGGTATTCCCTATAATATTATAAAATGGAATATTCCATACATGATTGACGATAATGCCTCGTGTGAGTAAGTAAAAACGAAATGGATCACAGCCCCTTTATGTCGGTATTCTCATTTTCATAGAGTGTTTTAAACGGAACCTGATCGGACCTACAGAGAGAGATTTGGTGGGGTCTACTTTAAACTTCTAATACTTATCATTCTGAAATTTTTAAAGAGAAATGACATTGCAACGCGCAGAACTATGATCTATAAAAGATTTAAAAAAAATTAAGGGTATTGAGAACATAATTCAAAAGATACGAAGCTGTTCATGACTTGTTAAATTCATCCTACTTGCAGTGTTCGATGGCGGCACGTAATAGGTAAGTTGTTATAAACTTATAATTATACTGACCTCTAAAACCCAACATCATTAAAAGGTCCTTCTAAAATTTTAGTAGGCGGTTTTCTAAGTTAAATATTTAGATCTGTATGCCTATTGAACAGGCCTCCAATAGCCAAGTGTCGAAAAATATGACGATTGGGGGCTTTAAAGGCTTATTTAATTGATTTTATAGATTTCAAGGTCTTTGCTGAATATGATTGTGGCAGTAAAAAATTTAAATCCCTACCTACCCACCGTAATAGCGCGAATAAGCGCCCCGTGTTGTTTGAATAAGCGCCCTCATCGAATTGTATATTTTGTGATTGATATTTTTTAGCAAATAATCTAACTGAGACTGTAGTTGCCATGATTTGAGCTGCGCGGATTGTATTCACATTTTCTTATGTCAATTTCAAAATGAGGATTTTCTCCTGGACAGATGGAACCTCCCTGGACATGATTTTTCCAACTTTCCTCTTCTTACATATTTGTCTACTTCTCTTTTTCTTTTCTCGACAATTTACGTTTTCATTTGAGTTTGCAAGAAAAGAGCTGCAATGCTACTAATCTCAATCGGCAGATGACCAACAAGCTTATGACCACCACCACCACTAATTTCATCTGCTGTTGAAACTCACAGCATTCTTGTCACAAGCCATGCTCTCTGGACGATTATCTTTTCTGCACCAGAACCATTCGTAATCAGTTTCCAGATGTCCTAATCTTTTTTTCACTCAAAAATTCCCATTGTATTTTCCAAGTTCCCAGAAGAACTCCTCAATTTTCATATATTTCCATAAGCGCCCCCTCAATTTCCACTCTGTTTTTCATAAGCACCCCGTTTGAATAAGCGCCCCTTAAAAAGTGTAAAAAATATTTATGCGCCTGGTCGCTTATTCGCGTGAGTACTGTACCCTATCTTTTGGGGCCCGTTACGCCAACATAACATTTTGGGTTTTTTTAGGCCTTATTTATCATAATATTTTAGTTGTTTTTATTACTACAGCATTATCACATCACTATCAAATATTCATTATTAATCTTATGTACATTTTTATATTATGCATTGCCATTTAATTTGGCTAATTTTCTCTCAATATCAGTTTCTTAAATGCTAATCAATATTATTTAAAAGTGCCAAATATTATATGCTTTATAAACAATTTATAATATTGATATAAGGATGATATAAATACATACTGTAAATTGTAATATACTGTATTATATGTATTGTATTGTATTGTATCATATGTATGTATTGCATAAACAATGAATGCATTTACACGCCAACCAATCACAGACTCGGGTGGTATTTGATGACCTGACTGAGTATCTGTGTGTCGACGTACGTGTGCACGCATGAAAGACTTATTAATAGGTCCATGGTATGAGTAAAGAAAGGGAACTTCAAAAAGCTATGTAGTATTTTCTTTACAATAGATACCTTAGAAATTGAGTGCATTGAACCATGGTGATGAAATCAGCTTTCAAAATGTCGAGGGTTTCGCTTCGTCCTGTACACGTAATCAGATGGTGTGTTGTTGCCCTAGCGATCTTAGGCCTCTTATTTTGGCTTTGGGAGCGGAGGGAGTACCACATCGAGGAGGCGCAACGTTTGTCGGGTCCAAATGCAAGAGATATCAAACCACCGTCCCTAAGAAATGTAGGAAGACAGTTCACACTGGATGGCCAACATGTATTGCTTCTGGGTGGCAGCCTGCATTATTTCAGGGTCGTACCCGAGTATTGGAGGGACAGGATGATAAAGATGAAAGCCTGCGGCCTGAACACAATAACCACGTAAGTATTACTACTAGTCCTACTAGGCCCTAAGGAGGCCTATTATCATATATTAGGCCCTATACCTCCATATTAATTAATGGTAGCAGTCACTTCGGCCCAAAACCAAATCGGCCCAAACCAACTCGGCCCAAACCAACCCGGACCAAAACCAACTTGGCCCCAGGATCACTTTGCCCCAAAACCAACTCGGCCACAAACAAACTCAGACCAAAACCAGCTCGGCCCAGAAGACAACTTAGGCCTACCCAAATGATATGGAATTATTCAAATGAATAGCGATCGTGATTACCCATTACCCAAATGACAATTATTATTATTATTTTAGTATTATTATATTTATTAATATTATTTATAGTTCTAATATTATTTTTTAGTATAACTATTCTTATTATTCGTTTTTATATTATCCAAATTATATATTTTATAATTATTATATTATATTTATTATTATTTTAGTATTATTATAATAATTAATATCATATAGGCCTAGGCCTAATAATAATATGATTTTTCATTAGACCTATTACTATTCTTATTACTTATATTTTATATTATCCGACTTATTACTAGTCCCACTAATTATTTTTTAGAAGAATCTTAACACACCTTTATAAAATAATGTATGTATGAATATAAAGCAAAACAAAATACATGAATATATGGATTTATTCAGGTACATTTAATTCAAACTGGCTACATTCTAAGTTTTTTTTTTTATTCAATTCATGATGGAAAAGTTTTAAAGTAAACAGTAGGCATACTGTTATTTTAGGCTGGCTGCCCCAGCAGGTTTTTTTTTTTGGTTGTTTGTTTTTTGTTTTTGTTTTCATTTCATTTCTTTAGGCACGAGCGCCAATGATATGCCAATAAGTGAACTTAATCACTGTCCTACGTGGCATATCCGATTAACAACAGGGGACTTAATGAACCAGTACACCGTTTCATTTCACAATACAGGGACCACCCAACATTTTACCCTGCCATCTTGAATAAATCAATATAGTATATAGATAGTATAGTTGTCGCCAAGTTGGTTTGGGGCCGAGTTGGTTTTGGGCCGAAGTGTCGCCTGGGGCCGAAGTGTCGCCTGGGGCCGAGATGGTTTCGGGCCTAGTTTGTTTGGGCCGATTTTGTTTTGGGCCGAAGTGACCAACATTTTTATTAATTAGGAAAAAGCTGCAGTAAATAAATTATTAATTAATACTGTATACCTAAGGTAGGCCTAGGCCTATTTATGTAAAGAAAAGGAGAGTTGGTCTTCAATCTCTACCAGGCGTAGCAATGCAAGTGACTGAAGTCTTCCGCAAGCTGCGGAGAGCCTCCTGGAGAACTGGACCTCCTCCTGCACTTCCGCAACCAAGCAAGGATTTCTCTTAAAATAGCCCATCTCCCACAAATTAATTAAATCTGCATATTTTTTTACCAATGTATTGCCCCTTTATCATTTGTCTTACAAAAGTCAGTGTCGATGGGTATCTCAAAGATTAGCAAAACACAATTAGATGTGCTAAAATTAAAGCTCTTTGACTTTAAACATATCTCCCAGAAATGACTTCTTCCGGCCAACTTGGACCCGTGAAAATTTAAATTAATTAATTAAAATTGAACATAATATGATACTAATTTCTCCACATCCCCATATACCTTGTTTCTGATTCTATCATTTTGTTTTTCACAAACGTTTTTCAGGTATGTGCCGTGGAATCTATCATTTTGTTTTTCACAAACGTTTTTCAGGTATGTGCCGTGGAATATGCATGAAGAAGTGAGGGGTGAATTTGAATTTTCTGGAATTCTAGATATTGTGTAAGTATTGTGCCAGATTTACTGGCCCTTGTGCCTCAGGCTCTTCAGTGATGGAATCCCACACTCTGGTTCTTAACCAACATTTTTATTTTTACCATCTACTGTAGGTGTATACCATAAGACCTCGAATAGGAGCCCATGGGCTTAATCTCGAGAAGGAGCCCCATGGCATAATCTCGAGAAGAAGCCCATTTGGAAAAGAAGACCCCCCTTCTTCAGTTTGTAAAAGTTATCTCGAAAAAGAAGCCTATCTTGAAAAGAAGCCCATGGGCTTCTAATGAAGATATTATGGGCTTCTATCAAGATAGTAGGCCAGGGGTGGGCATAAAAATCAGTCAGAGGGCAAAAGTGATTTTTTTATTTAACATGGAGGGCTGCACCCAAATTTTTATGGTTCTAGTGTGCTTCCAAAAACCTTCATGCACTGCATGCCGCACTTCGACCACCTGTGTAGTAGACCTACTACTTACTTTCAGACTGACATTATCATTAAATATTATGATAGCGTGTCAGTATCAATATTATTTTATTGTACTAGCATTGTTAAAATCATAAAAATATTGAACAGAATTTCAAATTCTATAGTTTGATTCGCCAGAATAAATTCGCCTAGTGGAAAATCTGCTTAAATAACACTGGAGCTTCAAACGGGAATTCTATTGACATTGGACCCCTCACTTTGCCTCTGTTCCTGGACCCCATGGTTTATAATGTCCACCACCCCGACCATACGCTTGCTCTTCTCACAAGCCAGTGCCTCATGTCTTATCTTTTTAAAATAGCTGTCCATTCATTATCATAATTATTTTTCTATATAGCATAATTGTTTGTCATAATTTCATATTTATGAATATTGTATATTATTTTGTTTACATGCTAAGCTTTTGGATATATACTTAAAATCATGCTTAAACCTCTATTGTGAATTTAGAACTGACATCGATAACAGAGGTATAATAGTACAGTCAGTATTGTATTTCCATTGACATCTGATCTTTCTTAAAAGCTTTAATATACAAAGTTTGCACAAGAGCAGAAGTAGTATAGAACAGCTGCTTGTAAGTGCCTTCTAACAAGTTGTGTTAATGATAGCCTTTAGGATGTTGATAATTATGCCATGTACAGAAATAGGAAAAGTATTAATTGTCCCCTGTGGAATGCTTCAGACGTGTTAAATGATAAATGGAACATTTTCCAAATTGGATAGGGTTATATGTGTTGTCATGGTTACACAGTTGAAAGCTGCAGTGAAGTCTTCAAAGATATATTGAAATATTTATTCGGTTGGGGCCTTGGGAACCCCAGCATCCATGGTAGCAAGTACTGATATACAATGTCTGCATTATATTGTTTCTTATCCCACCTAACTCCTATGAATTAGAGTTATTTGAGGGGCCAAGGGATCAGACTCCTATTAGAACAGACGCTAATCAGATTAGAACTGGAGTTTTGCACATAAAAGCATGAGCTTACCCCTCAGCCAAACACTCAGCACTAAATTATTGGTGCTAACAAGACTCAATTTTGGGCAATCTGAATGCTCAGATTAAAGTGCAAACTTCTAACAAAAATTGCGCTATAGAACCTACACGTAACCCATAAAATTTTACTATAGAACCTCAAGATGTGTATCATTATATTCTTTTTACATTCTTATGTATTTGTTTTGGATATTTTAGAGCCTTTCTACGGCTTGCAATGGAGTTGAACTTCTATGTCATCCTGAGACCTGGTCCCTACATCTGTGCTGAATGGGATTTTGGTGGTTTACCGAGGTACAGTATGTGAACAATGTATAATTTATCCTTTAATGTACCATGTATGTGAAACATTTGAGAGCAGGTACAATAATAGTCAATTGTACTCCCAGGTACAGATCCAGTGGGGGAAACACATTCCCCTCCCTCTCCCCATTTTGCCACTATACTATGAATTTGTTAAAAGTGCTATGTTTTTGTGATTTCGTAAATTTCTTTCATAAAAATATCAAAAATATATATTTACTCTATTAAACAAATTCTTTATTATTATATATTTTAATTCAGTTATAAATTATTTTTTTATTCAGCTGGCTTTTACACGATCCAGATATGAAAATTAGGTCAACATATCCCTTGTTTGTAGACGCTGTTGAGCGGTACTTTGACAGGCTCCTTCCTCTAGTCACTCCATACCAGGTACAGTAAAAATCAATTAGCTTCAAAGGCTAATAAAAAAAATATAAAAATTTGCACAAAATCTTTATCACAATATTATGAAAAAAATGGTAAGTTTTTGTTTATCTTTGCTTTTAATATAGTATCATCTTGGTGGACCTATTATTGCAGTTCAAGTTGAGAACGAATATGGGCACTTTGGATCCGACGTCAATTACATGATTGCAATTAAGGAGGTAAAACACACTATGTATATGATATTCAAATTTGGTTTGCTGCATAGCAGTATTAACACAATATAAATTAATAGGTATTTTTTCTGTCGTGCTTGGCTCTGGCACCATTAGTGCACATGCAGATACCAGCACCTTATAAATATCTACTATTATTATTATTTTTATTGTTGTATTTAAAAAAGTATCACTAGCGGGAATCGAACCTGCACCCTCTGTCTATAAAGACAAGTGTTATACCATTAGACTACATGGACCTATGCACTATAGCTGCAGATCTAACCCCAGACACCTCATACAACTGCTTTTTTAATCATTATTAATACAGTATTATTCTATGATTTCAGACGAATTTCAAGTATTTTATTTTTGTGGGGTTTTTTTTCGTTCTCTTAAGCCGGGTACTCAATGCGTCGTGCAACCGTAGCACGACGAATCCACCTCTGCTTCTGGCGAGCAATAGACGACACAACGCAGTCTGCTGATTGTCAGTGACAGTCTGAACGGATCCTCATTAAAAAAAATGATCCATTGGGTTCGCGCCGTTGCATGCTTTTGTTGTCGTGTTGCCGTCGCACGCAGTGAGCACCCGGCTTAACTTATCAATTGTTTTTGTCTGTTGAAAGATGCTAGTAGCCAGAGGGGTTAAGGAGATGCTGGTGACATCTGATCAGAGCAGCCTGCTCAAGGAGGGATCTGTGCCTGGAGGTTAGTAACTTAATTAACCATCATGCCCATATATGGGTATGATGATGTCATATCACAACCATATAGTCATGATGATGTCATATTGTATCCAAATATGGGCAAACCACAGTATTTATCCCAGAAATCTTGTGTAGACACAGCTTAAGAGTCAATATGTGTGAGAACTTACACTACAGTGATAAATACATATGATGTATTTAAATGATGTAAATGAAATATTATGCATGCAGAAGCACAGTATTCTTTACTCCATATACTAATATAATAAGTATGATATAAAATGAATGTTTGTCATCGTAATTAAAAACCCTCCATTAGTGATACAAAAATAATGATAAAAATTAATATAATAATAAATATTTTAATTTAATGAAATGCAGCATAAAAATTCATCTGAGCATGTGATTTGCATAATTGTCATCATTAAAGAACAATTAGAATTTTTTTTTTTTATCTTTTCCAGCTCTAATGACAGCAAATTTTCAGAAGGATGCTGAAAAACATTTTGAAAAGGTTAAGAAAATACAGGTTAGTTAGAATTTATTATAAAGTATTATGTAAACCTATGTCATATCCTATTATGGGCAACTTTTGTCGCTGTTTGATTTTGGTGAAATACAATAAAAAGTAAGAAACTACACTTCAGAAACTTTCTTTAATAGGCATGAGTGACCCCATACTATGAGAGATAGATAATTCATCCCTTCTATTTTTTTAGGGTGATGACATGCCTTTAATGGTGATGGAATTTTGGCCAGGATGGTTTGACCACTGGACTGAACAGCATCACATATATCCATCAAAAGGTATACAATATAAATTTGTGGAGAAAATATAGTGAAAATCAGTAGAAAAATCCTGATGACACAGGATTTGAACCCACGACCCAGGGATTGAAGGCAAGAATCTACCAACCAAGCTATGGTTCCACTCCAGTTGCCTGTTGGGTTATGTAATTTTGGGCAACAGTGCTTCACCAATGCTTCAAAAATTTGGATTTACATTTAATAAATAATTAGAAATATAAAGAATGTTTTTACTTTTAATCTTTTAAGATTGATTATAAGTGAAATGGTCATCCTCACTTTAAATCATATGAATTATTTTTTTTTTACCTCACTTGTAGGGCTGATACCAACTATAAAAGATGTTCTACAGCTTGGAGCATCTATCAACTTCTACATGTTCCACGGTGGCACAAATTTCGGGTTTTGGAATGGTGCCAACATAGTCCATCAAACATACCAACCAGATGTTACAAGCTATGGTATGTTAGATTATGATACAAGTTATCTAAATTATTTCGTAGATAGACTTTGATTATATATTATATCTTTTGTATTTTATCAGTGTCCCCTTTTGTAGATTAAGAACAAAACCAACATGTTGTACTTTTTTGGGGGAGAGTAAACACATGCCAAAATGGATTATTTTGTATATTATAATTAAAGTTTATAATTCTCTTTTAGAAATTGATAATGATTTAGATATCTTTTCAAATCCCCTGCATCAGTTCAGGATTAAAATTTGTTATGTTGTTTTTTGTCTGTCATGTTATCTATCCAAACTTAAGTTTTTTTGTATTGTTTATTTAGTGTAGGCCTTCGTTTATTTATTCTTGTTTATTTTATTGTTTACTCTCTTGTAGTTTGCTAATTTCATTTGCTGTTGTTTAGGTAATGAAATATAATAAATAAATAAATTTATATTATGATATTTCAGCATATTTTTAAAAGTTGTCATTTTATCTGTCCAAACTTAAATTTGTTTTGTATTGTTTATTTAGTCTTTTAGTGTTTATTTAGCCTTTGTTTATTTGTTCCTGTTTATTGTATTGTTTACCCTCTTGTAGTTTGCTAATTTCATTTGCTGTAGTTTAGGTATCGAAATATAATAAATAAATATCGCTATATTATGATATTTCAGGATATTTTTTTTTTATTTTATTGATATTTTCAAAGTTGTCATGTTATCTGTCCGAAAGTTTTTTTTGTATTGTTTATTTAGTGTAGGCCTTTGTTTATTTATTCTTGTTGATTTTATTGTTTACCCTCTTGTAATTGGCTAATTTCATTTGCTGTTGTTTATTTATTGAAATACAATAAAATAAAATATAGTTACAAGTTACATTATGATATTTCAGCATATTTTTTAAAGTTTTTTTAATAAATATTATTTTGTTTTGCTTTTCTTAATATTCAATATCTAGATTATGATGCCCCTCTTTCTGAAGCTGGTGATGCCACTGAAAAGTATTTCAAGATTAAAGCCTTGTTGAAGCAGGAATCACCTAAAGGAGTTGGTATGCAATTTTTTTACACTAAAAATAAAGACTAGTAATACTTAAAAACCAAAAGGTCCACTGATTAATCTCGGCTAAGATAGTATAATACATACTCCAAGTATCGAAATGCACACCATCATATCGGGATTCAATATTTTGACATTAATTATGTCATCATCAGGAATGATGACATAATTAATGTCGAAATATTGAATCTCGACACGATGGCGTGCATTAATACTTAAGTAGATAAACTGACTATTTTCATCTTTAAATGATTGCCCTGCATTCTTAATTGTATCTTTTCATTTTTCTGTGATTATATATACCCGTTTGTTTACATGGTGAATGTCAGTAAACTGAATTAATTGTATCATACACAGTGTTAGCTTATTGTTGTTGACAAATCCATGAATGTGATAATATATTTTTTCCATCTTTGTTTTACTGCATCTAGTTCCTGACCATTTGCCTAATGTTCCTGCCACTGGTAAGATAGCATATGGAGAAGTCACTATCACTCATTTCATTACTTTGGAAGACACGCTACCCCTTCTTGGTGTGAGTACATTCATGTTACACTTTATATTATAATATATTATTTCCTTTGTGTGTGTGTGTCTATTACTCAAATTTTTCCTGAGAAAATTAAGCTCTCAATTTTAAAATTAAGTACATCCACTAAAGTTTAGTGGTGGTGCTATTTGACAGTACTCAGATCCTTTGTTTGCATCATCCTAATTGGATAAATAAATTTCCCACAGGAATCACAGGAAACAAACAGATAATATATAAAATTGTTAGAAAGGGATATTTATTTTATCTACGATGTGTAATGAAGTCACCTATATACAAGGACATATGAAAATGTACTAATTGCATTTTATATACATTGAATCTCTGTTTGATATGATAAACCAACTATTTTCAGTTGGTGGGAACACCCCCAAAAATATATGGAACAGTCAGCCTCCGGCATCTGATATAAACAGCCCTGCACACGTCCTCATTCTTTTCATAAACTTCAATTTTTCAGGCGCCTGTTAAATCTGAAATAGTCATGCCAATGGAGATGTTACCTATAAACAATAATGGCGGCCAAGGATATGGCTACGTACTCTATAGGACAAAGGTCAAAGGATCAGTTAGTAAACTGGATTTTGTTGAACTCCCTCATGATAGGGCTCAGGTGAGATGAAATTAATTTATGCATTATATATATAAAATTGTATGTCTGAATGATTAATTAATTGATTGATATAGTGCTAATAGTTGCCAGGAAAGAAAAAATGCAACTTTTAATTTTTTTTTCTATTTATATTTTAATAATTTTTTAAACATACTAGACATATCCAATAGTACACTTTAATATCAATATAAATTAGTCTCATTATGAGGTTTAGAGAGTGGAGTCATAATTCGGTTGTCCTGGAATTACACATGTTATTACCATAAATCATTGAATTAGGGGGCAGTCATCATTAAACCACAAAGCTACATTATTTTTCAGGCTATTGTTTTTACCTGTGTTTGTGTTTTACATCTGTGAATATGCTAATTGCTCATTTGCATAATTAACATTTCACATATCAGGCAATTTACACTAAATACAATCATAATTCCCATAAAAAATTTCTAATTTAGGTAAAAATTGTAATATTTTTTAATGTTGTTGTCGTTGCTATTTACCTTTGGAATTAGGTCTTCTTAAATGGCCACTCTGCAGGGGTTGTATCAAGAACAGGAGTCAACTCTATTACTCTCCTCAACCTGGAAGTTGTAAAGAAGGTAAGTGATATACCAGATGTGTGACAATCGTGTTTGGAATATTAGTTCTGGTTTTACATTTATGTCTGAACAAACAGCTGCAAGGCTTAAATTTTTGTTGCAGTGTGTTGATTTATTCAAAAAGATGAATACATTGTCCATTGAGAAAATACAAAATATGTATGGGAAAGAAACTAAGTGAAATGAGTAAAGACAGACGGCTGTCAGCATGACCAATTGCGCTGTTTTTTTTTCTGCACGTGTCTTAAACCATTCCTTAGGTTGTGAGCTGTGGTTAGTCATTTTGGTTTTTTTTTCTGCACTATTCATCAAACCGTTCCTTAAGTTGTGAGCCCCACTCAGTCTTCTTTTTTTTTTCTTAATAATTATTGAAAATATTTTGAGTAACATTTATTCTGTATTTCACATCACTGATATCAAGTTTCAATATCGATTCAAACTATTTAAATACATAAGGTTATTAATTTTGCATTAAAAACGTTTTATTCAAATGCTCAATAGAGCCGACAAAGTCACAAGACAAACCCATGTGAAACCATCAGTAAAGCTAACATCTGTGCTGTTTTCAATGCATGTAAAATTGTTTCTATTGTCAAAATGTGTTTATGTGTTTTTATGTGTTTAAATAATTACCTATTAGCATTTGCAATTCATATAAAATAACACACATAACTACAAGTGTTCTTATAGTTTAGGGAATAATTCTAGTGACAGTATAAAAAAATATTCTCTAATAAAATTCTCTGTTTAAAAAATTCTTTTGAAATCAGGAATTGAAGAATTTGAAATCGGATGATGAGGTTACACTAGATATCCTGGTAGAAAATCAAGGAAGAACAAATTTTGGGAAAGAAATGATTTCTGAAAGAAAAGGTAAGTTTATTTTACTACTTTTAGACTTACAAGAAAGTATAATACATACTCCAAGTATTGAAATACACGCCATCGTGTTGGGATTCAATATTTCGACATTAATTATGTCATCATCAGGAATTCCTGATGATGACATAATACTTGGAGTATGTATTATACTTTCTTATCTGAGATTAATCAGTGGACCTTTCGGTTTTTAGACTTACAGTTTCAACTAATTTACAATTTTATATATAATTTTGAAAGCTATAAAGTATAATTTCTGTTCTTAAGGTTTGTTAAAAGATGTGGAAGTGAACAAAAAGGTACAGAAAGACTGGGTAATTTATCCACTGGAATTTAAGAAACCATTTATGGAAGGGTAAGTAAACTGTTTTTATTTCAGTTTATTTAATATTTGTCAGTTATTATAAAAAGCATCTTAGCACAGTTGGTTAATACTGGTAGAAACCACCTGTGTGTTTTTTTTGCTGTGCTCTCCCTGTAAAATGCAGGTTAAAGTAATCCAAATTGGAAGATATCATTTCCAGGAGATCTGTTCATACTGGCCATGTCTAATTTTGTTTTCCTGCTTATAGTGACACCTATTGACATTAACATCCATGAGACAAGTGATAATAAAGGGGTAAAGCAGTAGTAAAAACATGCAGATTTAATAAATTTGCAGGACATGGGTTATTTTCTAGGAGATTCGTGTCCAAGTGCGAGAGGCCATCCCGATTTCCAGGAGACCCCTGGTAATCCGTCTTTGGTAAGAGATGCCGATGAACACATGGTAAACAGCTAGAGCTGTGGATTATCTTTACCAGGAATAACGCTGGCTTTTAGCCAAGGTTGTCCAATTACTGTACTCGGCTAGTACCAAATTGATTGATTACTTTCACCGTCAAATATTCTATGCATATTATCTGTATTTCTTTTCCAGAGTGATGGCAGCCGACAAATGGCAGAATATGAAACCCGGGATTAAAGTACCAGCACTTTATAAAGGATCCTTTGAAATACCAAATAGGACACCAAAGGACACATTCCTGAGCATGGAGGTGGGTGTGGATTGCAATTCAAGTAACGGTTATTTTTTAAATCCTAACCATCAATTAGAAAATATGTTAACGCATGGTCATTTATATCTTAATTTTACACCCTCCTACATACATATAACCGTTCTTAGGACAACATTTATACAATAATAATTATATACTTAACTTGATTGGCAGTGTATGATGCAGTTCTATTAAACCTGCAAGTGTGTCTTTTTCTTGTGTAGGGCTGGGATAAAGGCATTGTATTTGTCAATGGCTTCAATATAGGACGATACTGGAAAGAAGGACCGCAGACAACCTACTATGTTCCTGGGCCACTGTTAAAGGCAGGCAGAAATGAGGTAATATTCAAATGCATTTAGTTTGGAGTGAAGAAATTCTTCTTTTTTTCTAAATTACAATAAAATGAAAAAAAAATATATAAAAAGTTAGCAATTTAAATATGAAAAGATGAGATTAATTGTTAAAATAATTTTTGTTAGATTAAACAAATCTAAATAAATTCATATGCCGTACCATTTCAGATTGTTATTTTTGAGCAGCATGGGAGTGCTGGTAAGGTCAGTTTTGTGGATAAACATGACCTCGGCCCAACGGTACGTAGAGATACATGGAACGAATAAGGCAGTCGAGGTTTACAGAATAGACCTAAGCCCTGTTTGGATTGCAATTTTTTTGGTCAAACTAAACCATGCAAATAGAATGCAGTGCACAAACAGCCTGCCTAAGATTGTCCGGGTGAAGTAACACAATAGTACAGTAAGTTTATCCGAGTGAATGATGTCCAGTGCAATTTGATTAAGTGTTCCAGAGGGCGTATTAATACCACGCGCAACACTGAACTTCACAGAATCAAACCACGATTAGACTGACCATGCGCATTCTTAAGATCTTTCTATCTTAAAACATGCGTATTTAAATCCTGGTGAGAACAGCATACGATTTGTCCAAAGTAGATTTACTCTTCGTCTTGTTCAAAATTAATTCACTGAGAACATGGCGGTAAGCGGTTATGAAGATTGAACTTCGCATTACACGTATAAGAAAATTAGACACTTGTGATTTTTTTTTTTAAGGGACTAAATTCTCCCCACTTCATCATGAGTCCACAAGCTGGGTTCTGTTAAATATAAATAAAAATTTTTTTTAATTCAGATTTTTTTATAATATAGGATGTTTACAATAAAGTAATTATATACATAAAATTGTATTATTTTTGCTAAAAAATATAAACATATAGTACATACAGTATTGTGAACTACAATTTATGCATAACAATTATATGCCTATATTATATGCCTATATATCAGTGGGCAAAGTGCAGCCCGTGGGCCACCAGCGGCCCAACAGTAATTTTGTTGTGGGCCGCAAAAACCCTGTGTAAGGCCTGCCATGCAAGTTTGATTAGAAAACCCTTTGTTTTTATCAGAAATCAGTATTAAATCAGAACTTCACTTTGGCCCTCCAACCCATTTTTATGCCCACCCCTGACTGATAAGGTGGTTTAATTTAATTAAACATTTGAAAATAGATAGTAGGCATATAGTAATAACACTTGTTATTTACACAAATGGTGGTATTATATAATGTGATAGATAGGTGAAGGAAATATGTAAATTGTTTTATTTATCAGATTATTATCATTTTATATGGCCATTGTTTAAAAAAATGATATTTAGGTATCTCATAGGCATATGGTCCAGGGGAAGATCCAGAGAGAGGTGTAGAGGCTATGGACCCCCGGAAACAGCAAGAAAACATATAGAGAAGAAAGAGGGGTCCACGGTACTCTAGAACAAGCAAATTTTCAATTAAAATTCCATGTACCAGTGTCTATTGTCAAGCATTCTAAACAAAAATCTCAAGCTCCAACCACCCCACCCCCTGCTTGGTGCTTCGCACGTCACATGACCTCTACCCAGATTTTTCTTTGGATCCAACCCTCAGTTCAATTTGACCAGTTGGTCAATATTGGAGTAGTAGTAGTAGTATAGGCCAAGTTTTATGGTAGCCATATTATGTGCATTTTTGAGACACATTGTCTTTCAGGCTTTCAATCGCTTGTAGATTGTGTTAAGCCCTGTCAAGATTTTATTTGACAAAAAAACTGTTGTATGCCCATATATAGTCATGATGTACCTATACATGGTCATGATGTGATGTAATCATGACCATATTTAGGCATTCCATATATTTTGGACAGGGCTGAAGGCATTTGTAAACATTTTAAGATGATTGCAGATTATGTAAATTGTTTGTATTTCATAATGTAGACATTATAACAAAATTAGCATTAACTGCATTTTTACTTGTCAAATACCGCCACCACGTGGTCTGGTTGGCGCAAATGTAATGGAGAGGTTTCTTTTTGACACAGGCATCTTTAAAGCTGTTTTCCACTAGGCGAATTTATTTGTGCGAATCGAAAGTGTTGGTTCCCTTCCTGAGCTATGATTGGTTGTGCATTTTTTTGCTTTGCAAAAAGTAGAAACAGTTCGAAACTACTGATTTTGCTGAAGAGAAAAACTCTGATAGAGATATGAATGTGCATGCGCATGAACTGATGCCTTCGATCCATGAGAATAAATTCGCATAGTAGAAAACAGCCTTTAAACTTGTAATTATAACATCAGACAGTCTTTAGGATGTAATTCTATATTGATTGATTGATTGGTTGATTTTAATTAGTGCAATAAATAACACTTGAAATCATACATGAAAGTACTTGCAGGTCCCTATTAACTAATTTAAAACAAATAGAAAACACAACAGAATGCAACAAAAAACAGAATTTATTTAAAATTACCATTTTATGTAAATACGTTATTTAATTCCACATTGAAGATTAATCCTAGGTTTTGCACTATTGCGGTAGAACAGTACTAGCTTAAGGAATTTCCTACCAGAGATGTGTTACCCACCACCATAAATAGAATATAATCTTTTCTTCATTTTTATTTAAAAATTGTGTTTTTTTTTTTTCACCTACATCTGAAGGTCCTTTATAAACAAAGTTAATTTTATGTGGTATAATACAAAAAAAAAACTGAATCGCATTTTATGTGGGGTATCAGGATGTATATTTTATTAAAACCCCATCAAATACGAATACTGCTCCCACAAACAGATATAAATCTAGTTGAACAAAATATATGCAAATGTACAGTACACTGTATACTTTCCACCATAAATGTTAGAAGTACAACTTAAGATATTTTTTTCACATTTTGAGTCCTTTAAATTCCTTGGTATTAACTACCAAGATATATTCAATAAAATGAACAATTGTAAAATATTTTTGTGTTCGAATTTAATTTATTGCAGTGGTATTT